CCAGGAAAGGACGAAAAAAATATTTTTTCCCGAACCGGATTTTGATACCCACCCTGAGAGATGAGAGCAAGCTCAAAAGGTTCTTCGCTGCTTTGTAATCCCCCCGAACTGTGCCCTCCCGCCCTACCGCCCTACCGCCCTACCGCCCTACCGCCCTACCGCCCTCCCGCCCTCCCGCCCTACCGCCCTACCGCCCTACCGCCCTACCGCCCTACCGCCCTACCGCCCTACCGCCCTACCGCCCTACCGCCCTACCGCCCTACCGCCCTACCGCCCTACCGCCCTACCGCCCTATCGCCCTACCGCCCTACCGCCCTACCGCCCTACCGCCCTACCGCCCTACCGCCCTACCGCCCTACCGCCCTACCGCCGTCCCTCCCCTGTCTGGTCCTCAGGAACGTTTACCTGGCGCTGAGGCAGAGGGCCGCGGGTGACTCGGACCTATTGGAGGAGTTCAACGGGAAGGTGATTGCCCACCCCCGAACTACACACCCACATACACCTACTAGAAGTTACCTACCTATCTACATTAATACATGCATGCATACATACATACATACATACATATGTACGTACGTAAGACCTTGCATGTGCAGCAAGCGCCAAATGTACAGATAGGGGCAATATGAAACTGCCAGGGACACGATATTACCTAAGTGAATGTACGAATGCCCCTCGCCCACGTCGTATCGCGCTACATGCTACTGTGGTTAGATACGCTGCAACACTCGGCCCAGAGCTGCACAGTACCGTTTGCATATCGTACTGTCCAGCTTTGCACCGTACTGGCAGCTGTACCGTTCCTCCTCCTAGATTACCGCAACGCACTGCCTTCGCGTGATGACTGCGCGGTCATCATGTGTATGATGTTGTTACAGGGTGGTATAGCTTCACCAGCGGCCCCCTTTCCCGAGGCAGTTTCCTGCTCTACCCTGCTAGAGGGGCAACCTAATCCATTCACCCCATCCGACTTCAAATTGTATTAATTGGGTTCAGCAACTCACCACCAGCATCCAACCAAATCTAGCGGTTCAACGGCGCCTCAACTTAGTTCCTGGTCAACTCGCAAGTTGATATAATCACGTCCTACAGCGTCCACAAGATGGGGGACCGCCTCTTTATTAAACACCCCTCACTCACCGATTCAAATCAGTTGGCAAGCTGATTTGAACCCGGACACTCCGGGAGCAAAAGACAGACCATAATCTCTGCCAGCAACTTGCCTACACTTTAAGCATACTTTCATACAAGCTCCCCAGCAAACGCATTTTCCTTTGGATTTTATCGTTGAGTTGTAGCTTGCTGCTTGCCTTCCTGCTCCGCCCGTCCCGAGTGCCTTCAGATCAACATTCACGAAGTTAACAAGTCTATCGACAACAGCTTCACTGCATTTGGTGATCCGCGGAGCACTTTTATCGGGACCCTACCCCCCTACAGCATCCGGAACCTGCCCCAGTACAAGTTGTACATACAGACTGGGGGTGGGTGTGCGGGCCGGCAGTGGGAGCTGAGCAGCGGGCCATGTGCATGCGCTGACTGGAGCTCAAAGAGCGACCTCTCCATGTTCGACTAGCTACATACCTGATATGTCCCTAGCACACAGGGCCCTAAAATACGCTCTTCGCATTGTACGTTACTCAAAGTTGCAGTCTTAACACGTCTGTTGATCCCTTGATGCTTCCTCTTCGCCACGTCTCCCTCCTTCCCTGTCTCGCCTCTTCTTTATCCATTTGCCCCGCTCGCCGCACCTCACCCCCGGGGGTGGATTCAGCTGTCTGTTACCGCTTTGGATACATGTGGGACCTCTTTCATTTGCAGTTGCATCGTGAGGGCCTTGTGAGAGCATCTCCGTGTGGGTCCCGCGCCTCCCACCTGCTTCCTTTGCTTGCTGCCATTGCCATGCATGTTCCCTTCTGCCTTCACCAGCCCTGGTGAGCTCCTTCATGACAGTCCATGTGTGCCGCTACACCGCCAGTCCCCTGGAGTGCAGCGCCCTCATTGGGTGAGCGAGGGGGGGAGGAAGAGGGAGGGAGGGAGGAAGAGGGAGGGAGGGAGGAAGAGGGAGGGAGGGAGGAAGAGGGAGGGAGGGAGGAAGAGGGAGGGAGGGAGGAAGAGGGAGGAAGAGGGAGGGAGGGAGGAAGCGGGAGGGAGGGAGGAAGAGGGAGGGAGGGAGGAAGAGGGAGGGAGGGAGGTTAGCAGATGACTGTGAGGTTGGTTCGTTCGCCAGGGAAAGCAAGGCGGAATGCATGTACGCTATGGACATCACCAGTAGCACCGCCAGGCGTAGGGCCCCACAGGCGCTGTGTTGCGATATGTGGGGCGCAGTGCGGTGTACCCCCTACCCAGATCGGTAACGACGGGCTGCTGCCGATCTAGTGCGGGCAGTTGTACACCCGCCACCTGCCTTACCGCCTACTTGATGTTTACTGGATGAGGGGTTGTGCCGGTGTGGTGGTAATGCTGTGAGGCGGAGGTGGAGGCGGAGGTGGAGGTGGAGGGCACTCATAGGGCTCACCAATAATCGAAAATCTTCCCACAGAAATTGACCGAGTCCTAAGCCTTCCGTGTCCTACTTGGCTTCATTTGTCCCCTCGCAGATCGCCACCGCCACCACCTCCCACGTCCCGCCCACCGCCACCACCTTCCAAGCGCTCACCCCCACCGGCACTGATGCGCTCGCCACCGCCATCGCCACCGCCGCCATCTAAGCCGCCACCGCCGCTTCCATCGCTGCCATCGCTGCCGCCGCCACCATCACCGCCGCCGCCGCCACCACCGTTGCGACGTCCGCCGCCACCGCCGCCGTCTCCTCCTCCACCATCGCCACCGCCGCCACCGCCACCGCCATCACCGAAGCCACCTGTGGGACGTCCTCCACCGCCATCGCCAAAGACTGTTAGGCGCTCGCCGCCGCCGTCTCCCCGGCCCCCGCCACCACCATCACCACCACCCCCGCCACCACCATCACCACCACCCCCGCCACCACCATCACCGCCACCCCCGCCACCACCATCGCCGCCTCCGCCGCCACCACCCCTTAAGCGCCCTCCGCCGCCGTCACCACCACCGCCGCCGCCTCCACCACCCCTTAGGCGTCCGCCGCCGCCGTCACCAAGAAACCGTGCACCCCCGCCAAGCTTTCCCCCGCCGGATGACACCAGCTCTGACCAGCCTCCGCCTCCCGATGGGGAAGTGGCGGCCCCGCCAGAAGGCGACCAGGCGCCCCCTCCATTCGAACAACCGCCCCCCCTGGATGCGCCTCCGCCTGAGTACTGATCGGCATGACTGGCATCCTATCTCTATCTGATGATGATGGTGGTGGTAATGGTGGTGGTGGTGGTAATGGTGGTGGTGGTGGTAATGGTGGTGGTGGTAATGGTGGTGGTGGTAATGGTGGTGGTGGTAATGGTGGTGGTGGTAATGGTGATAATGATAACACCCTTGTTGGGTGCCCTGGCTCACCACCCTCGCCACAACGCCAGCTGTCGACCGCACAGCAACAGGGCTGCGGATCCTCCTGCCGCACGGTGCACTGTCCGGCGCCCGTTGCGGTCCATACAGCACATCGATCCGGATAGGAGCCGCAGCTGCTGTGTGCCCTGTTGCGCTAGGCAGTGCAGCGACTGTTGGGGCTGATGAGGGGATGGATAACCCTGTTGCAGTTTGAAGGGATGCCAGGCGTTGAAAGCACGTCTTTGGAGTTCTGTTAGGTGATATATTGGCTGGCGTGGCTGTTGTTGGTGTCGTTGTTGCTGCTGCTGCTGTTGCTAGTTGTATTTGCGTTGTTAACACTGTTAACAGCAACGTTGCTGTTACTTCATGGCGCATTCTTGCATATGATCCGGACAACTGTGTTGGGCATCAGGCCCTTGCCTGGTGATGTCCCCGATTTGGGCCCCGCGGGCAGGGGCCTAACGATTCAATGGGGACCACGCAGTTGGGTAAACCATCGGGCATTGGCTGGGTCGGTAGCATACCAACATACATACACGCATACGTGCTGACGTACATACATACACACATCCCCCCATCTTATGGACGGTGTAGGACGTGATAATATCAACTTGCGAGCTGATCAGGAACTAAGTTGTGGCGCCGTTGATCCGCTAGATTTGGTTGGATGCTGGTGGTGAGTTGCTGAACCCAACGAATACAGTCTGAAGTCGGATGGGGTGACGGATTAGGGTGCCCCTCTGGCAGGGGAGAGCAGGGACTGCCTCGGGAAAGGGGCCCGCTGGTGAAGCTATACCACCCTGTAACAACATACATACATACTTACATATGTACGAGGCGAGCGCATCATGATCTAGATCAAGGAGTTCAAGCAGCTTGTGTAAATAGAAAACTTGGAACCTGAATGAAATGACGGTTTGGCTGAAAGGCGGGTAGTAGCCCCAGCACTCCACGGCCTCCTCCCTCTTCCCCAAGCCTAGTCATTAGCTTCCTGATATCTTCATGGCGGAACGGAGGTAGCCCCGTCCATCATAGCATGCCAGGGTGATGAATTTGCCTTATGGATGTTTCGCTGTTTGGCTGCTACTACTAGTGCTGGTACAGCTGAAGCGTGCACACGCTTAATAGTCGACAGTTGGCTCTATGGGTGGAAACAGACTTCTTAAGATGCGAATTGTGGACAGGACAGAGAGCAAGTTGTTGTGGCGCCGGATTACACTAGGTGGCAGTTGCCTGTTTGGTGTAGCCCGTGCAAGCAAACGAAGCCGGTTGGATTACAGCGGTGGCGCGAGGCAACTGGTTGAGGAGGTGTCGCTGTTAATTACCGTTGCTGTTGGCCCCTCCGTTGGGTCCGACTCCTCGCCCGACCCATTAGCCGGCGAGGCGGGGATATCTCCTCGGCTGGGATCTGGAAAATGTTACTGTATCGTTTTACGTACTGGTTCTAGGGTTTTAAACACGTTTTACATGGCTGCAGTTTGTAGCTGAGGACGTCAGGATTCATGCAAAGGCGAGTAACACGAACCAAGGTAAGTGGCGGTGCATGTACGAGGTCGGTTTTTCATTCGCACTTTAGCTGTCCTACACGGGGCTTGCAGACAGCTACCAGATGTGCCCAGGCGGCCTGCCCCACAGCTTGGCAGATCCCCCAGCAAAGGACTGTTTGGATCCTTTGTTTTGGGTCGTTTGAAACAGTGGGGCACAAGGCGCAGAACTTCAGGTTCCGATTCACATGCAGTATCGCAATTTCGCCTTGCCTGCGTGCATACACGGAGACACTGGTGAAGGCAGTTCCGGATGTACACATCGTAGCTGCAATTACCACCGCTGCTGCTGTCGCTGCTAGGGAGCACATCCCGCTGCTTCTAAACAGCGTGTCCAGCTTGCCGGGGCGCTATCGCCCTTCGAACCGCAACACGACGTCCGACGACACCCTTAATAACCTCACAGCGCAAATCTGCGCCCCGGTCCGTACCTAGCTTCCGTAACCATCTAATACCCTAGGGCCGCCTGCCCCTCGGCAGCATGTAAACGTCAGCAGCACCCCATAACCCGGATGAACGGTGCACGCTTCAAGCGCTTGCCACCTCCCATAACGCTCGCTTGGTTCAGCATGCATAACAAGCCAGTACCGCGTGCCCTCACAGGGGAGTTGCGACCCGTGGGTCACTGCTGTCTGGGTAACGTTGGGGAATCAAGTCCATGCCATGCCGCTCGCGATCACGACCACGGACGCGGCAGCACTCACCAAACACGCGTACGGCATCATAGCACACCGGAGCAAACCGTGTTAGCCAGCAATCAGAAGACGGCTATTTCGCACGGCATGCACAGAACATCACATTGCAGAAAGCCCTGAGGACGCGCATGAACGCCACAACACGTGCAGCAGCTGCCGGGCTCTTGGCCTTACCGAGCCCAACTGACAAGCGTGCAAGTACCCCCAGGTCGGTCAACCTGGCTGCTCCGCAATTGCCGTGTACGGCATACATCCGCAGTTACCAACCCACAACCCCAGCAATCTACCCGTCCGCACACCACAGCCACGACCACGCAGCAAAATACTCATGCTATGTCTCTCTTTCCCCTTCCCAATGTGCCTTGCGCGCGCCGTATTCGGATGCCTGGATCAGCTTGGGGCTGAACCCCTCACGGCTGACAGGACCACCCAATTGGTTCGGTGCATCAGCATCAAGCTCCTAACGCGAACTTGACCCCTGCCCCATCTAACAACTCCAGGCGCCCTCCCAGACAGTGAGTCGTCCTCCCTCCCCTGCGAGCCCACCATCGCCCCCCTCATTATCCAGCAACAAAGATAGTACCACCGCGCCAACATAAGCTATGCAATGAACATGACGAACAGCACCAGAAACACGAGCAGCACGCCCAGCACCTTGAGTACCAACCAGCGGTTGCTTTGAAGGCCGTTCAAGTACTTAAGAAGCTGTGCCTGCGCCGCATTAACATTCGACAGCGTGTCCTCCACATTCTCATCAATGCGGATTGCAAGCTCCCCTTGCTCAGCGACCAGCTCGCTAAGCTTGTTGAAGATGGTCCCCAGCTCCACGATAGTGTTCTCCACATTCCGCAGAGCCTCCGCGCGGCTGCTCAGGTACGTGTCCTGTGGCGCAAGCATCTGCATCTGCTGTTGTTGCTGCGCCATCTGGGTAGCTGGAGACGCGGCCAGAAAGCTGGGGGTGGCTGCGGCGGTGGAGGCAATGGAGCTGCCGACCGCTGGGGCCGGGGATAGAGGCATCGCCGGGGCCGGGGCCGGGGACGTGGATGTGGTGGCAGTGCGCTGGCGGGCAAGCAACGGCAACACGGCTTCTGGGTCTGTGTTCGAGGTGAAGAGCTGACGGCGCTCCCGGTGGTGCTTTAGAGAATCCGTCCGGGCTGTGAGGACGTCGCGGAAGGTGGCGGTGGTGTCCTTGAGCCGGGAGCGCAAGTTGTCCACGACGGTGTGGCTGTGATCAGCAACTTGTTTGTTTGAACGGTCGTCCCCGCGGCCGCGGGTGGACAACCGCTGCAGGTCCGCGATTGCGTTGTTTAGCCCCTGGATGTCCTGCTTGATGACTCCGGTCAGGTCATCCACCTCCTGGGCTGGATCATCGAAAGCCGACGTTCGTTTGGCTAGCTGAGCCAATTTCTGAAGTTTCAGCGATGTCCGATGTATACCATGCCCAATATCTGCTGCGCGACGGGCGAACTCACTGCCGTGTGCAGTCTTATTTCCTGAGGTGCTTGCCTGCCCTCCAGGCCCAGTTCCATTACTAGCAGTGCCAGAAGTACTCGCTGGTGAAAAGCCAGGTTGCCGTTGCAGGCGCTCCGCGATAGCAAGGAACTCAGGAGTGCGGTCACGCAGGCTGGCCGGCTGTGGCAAAGGCATTGCTAGAGACTAATGTTTACCAGGATACAGCACGATACCCTAATGCTGCTTTATGGCGTGAGCCGGTTCGGTCACCACGCCCCTCTCAGGTAACTCTGAATCTTTTGCCTCGTGTTATTACCTTAGCGCAATCATAAAGCACGGTAAGGTAAACTACAGCAGCAGAACTGCCGGTCACAGAAAGGAGCAGTGTCACCCCGGAAGGATCACACGCAACAGCAGAGAAACTATACCTTTCTTCCAGATTGGGTAGCCCATAAGAAACTATTATGCAAGCCAAGCCGTGTAAAACCCCTAATGGCAGCTAAGCAAACACTTTGCAGTTGTCGTGAAAAGGCAACAAGTTAGGTAGCAATTTGCCGAGAGAACCACAACTTTTGTTTTTTCGTGATGTTCATTACACTTGAATAATGTTGCTATTATAGTACCTCTCGTTAGCAAAACATTCTATCTTCGCCACCAAAAGCGTCGACACAGGATTACTATTCCAGCTTGCTGGCCGCACCTGGCACGCTCTGCTTTGTCATACCGTCTCATGATTTTTACCTCCCTGGGTTACGTCATTTGTGGAAGTTCAGACCTTTGGAGTTCGCTGGAAGGCGACTCCGACTGCTTCTGAATGGTTCTGGTTGGGATACCCCAAACGATTCAATGCACATATTTATCTAAAAGCAGCTGTCTTGAGCGGCTTTCGTCTAGGCACGACCATCTGCCGCGGCCTAAGCTACTCACCGCACTAGGTCTCTGGGACTCCATAGCTATCACCCAGTCTAAACACGAGCCGGCGTCAAGGAGTTCCACAGCCGGCAACAGTGAGGCTTCCGGAAATGAGCGCTCCCCAGCAGACGGGCTCCATGCAGGCTGCCACCCTGCGTTGCCCGCCCAATGTCTTCCGAGAGAGGTACAGCCTCGCGGACTTTGAGGTGACTCATACATACGTTGAAGGACCGAACTGGTCCGTCTGCGCGGCACGCTGCAAGTGGTCAGACGCGCCGGTAGGTCATGCGTGTCGCTCTCGATGGTGGTATTACTCAAGTGGGCTGCCTTAGCCAGCTTGCTCGTGTCGATGGTGCACTGGGCACTGACAGCTGGCGCTCTACCTGGCGCCTCATTTTAACTTTGTCGGGCCGTCTGGGTCTTAACCCTTACGGGAGGGAGCACGGTAGTTCGATCATACCCACATCCGATGGGGCCTCATGCATGCCAGGAGGAAATCTCGCAGCACACCATCGCATGTTGCTTTAGTGTTTGCATCGCCCTTGTCTGGTTGGCACATCGGTTGCGCCCTGATGCCCATCTTATCCCCCCCTATCGCAACCTCCGCCACGCACAGGTGGTGCTTCAAACCTACGCAGAAGGTGCGTTGGGACATCGGGCGGAGGGACTGGACCGCCGGGTTGCCGCCTGCGGAGGCCCCACGCTATAGCATTACCGGATCCACGCTCTCTCCGGCAACGTGCTTGTTTTCCCCTCCCGGCCTCACCTCCGTCTGCCGTACATCTGCACTTCATCCCTTTTGGGTTGCCCTCTTAGATGGGCCTCTTTTGGCGCTTTAATTCCTAACTACCGCCACCTACACACCTTGCGTCCCCTCCTCCTATCACCACCAGTCGGCAACCTGTCGGGTTGCATGTCGCTGGCTCTGGCAGCAGCCCATGGGCTCACCAACCACCCGGCGCTCTTGCCGCTGTACGCGGTGTTCCGAGACGCGGGGAACCCCCCCTCCGCGGGTGGCGGTGGGCTCACGGACAGCAAGGGCAGCAGCAACTCCAGGCCCAACACGGTCGGTGATGGTGGTGGTAACGGCGGCAGTAGTGCGGGAGGCGGTGTGGGGTGCGGCGACCGTATAATCATGGTGTACCCTGGTGGCCCGGCGCAGGTGAGCCGGGGGGGGATCCTTAGGCGGGAAGGCTGGGGCACATGGAGTATGGGGGGTTGGGCGAGTGGCCCCAGCGGGGGCCCGCTGGGGATGGCCGGGAGATAGGGTCCCGCTTACGACTGGCCATCTATAAGAGAAGGGCTTTTCAGTGGTGGTGGTGGTGGTGGTGGTGGTGGTGATGTACGGTACTTGAACGGTGGTCTAGCGCCATCTGTGCATTGCTCTACGGCTATTTTGCGTCGGCGCAGTGGCGTCGTTCTCGTCTGGATCCAGCCCTTTAAGATTTGCTCCACCTCCTCCTCCCCCCGGCTTTCCCTACTGCTCCCCGCAGCACCCTTTGTATGTGGGCTGGCCCCCCACCTCCCCGGGGTCCTCCCCTCCGCTGGGCAGCTACGGGGGCGGCAGTGGCAGTGGTCCGCCCGTCAGTGAGCGAGGTGTTGTCCGGGGCCTGCTGCAGCCCCTGTCCGAGCTGGTGGGGGTGCTGGGCTCCATGGGGCTGAGGCCGCCCTACGTGTGCGGACTGGACGTGTGGATGGACAGCCCGGAGGCGCCAGTGCCGGGACAGGCCCTGTTCATGGGTGAGTGTGGAGCTGCTCGGCGGGTGGCGGAGGGGGAGGTCGCGTGGGATGAGGGGAGGTCAGGAAAGAGATCGGGTCAAGTGGGGCTGAGATCGCTGACGAGTGGAGGGCATGTTGGGGGAACGGTGGGTTCTGGAGCTAGGGGCAGGTAAGCTAGCCAGGTAGCGAGCGGGCTCACGGCTACTTGCTCATACCCCTGTGTGACAGGGTGGTACGTGTCCTGGGTCGGGGTCATGAAGGCGCAGGGGATCAGGAAGGGGCGGTAAGACGCCGGCCAGGTAGATCCGCACTGGCGCTCTGGCCATTGCAGGCGGGGGTGGGGCCGGATGGGGCCCCCGCTGGTAGCCGCATCAGCGTTAGCCCGCGCAGCAGCTGGCAGTGCAGGAAACTAGGCAACCTGCAGGTCGCAGAGCGCGTCTCCGAGCCCGGCGTTATCTAACTCCTGTTAGTTATCGCCGCCCCCATGCTGCCCTTCTTGGCTTGATTGCCACCCTGAGCGGTGTTCCCCTTCGCGTCCCCCGGCCACTTATTTGTCCTGTCGCGCAGTGCCACTGCTTTGCCATCGCCGGTCGCACAGCCCGCCAGGGGAGCTCTTGCCGGCAGCAATGCCGTTCGCGGCGCCGTACTTGCGAGCAAACCCGATAGCCGCCGGCGATCAGACCGAACGGAATGGCGATATGTTCAAGAGGGTGAGGGGAGTGGATACCACAACATTGGGCAGGGCAGATTGAACAGGGCAGGGAGGGAAGGAAGGAGCAACATGGAACAGTCAGAGGCCGACTCGCATGGGCGGGGGTTGGGAAGCTGGATCATGTGTTGAGACTACTTGACAGTCAGCACTTCAGGAGCAGTGTAGTGTATCCGGTTGGAGAACCGGCCGTGAAACCGGGCCCGCAACCTGTGATGACTGGAATGACGGACAAACAACTCAAGGTGCCGCTCGCACGTCGTTTCCCGTTCTCAACACGTCCAACACCCATCCGTCCCCCTTTCCCCCTCCTGCTCGCTGCGGGCGCCCTCAGTGGCTATCCTGGTCCGCAGCGGCCCTGGTGCACACCGTCCTCATAGGCTCGCCGCCACCCGAGGGGTCCGCGCCCAGAAAGGCCCGAAGACAAATGCCGCCGGAAGGGGCAGCCGCGGGAGGTGGAGGTGGCGTCGCCGGCGTACCGCAGCTGCCGCCTCTCACGACCTCCAACAGCGGTGTCCCGCGGGGCAGTGTGCTCATGTCGTTTGGGGGCCAGCGGCAGTCGTTAATGGGCTCCCAGGGGGGGCCCCACCACGGCGGTGTCAGTGTCAGTGGCTGCACCAACGGGGAAGTCGGCAGTGGCGGCAGCCGTGTGAGGATACGGTCGCCGCAACGGACCCACCGCGCGCTTGACCCCATGCCGCTGTGGCTCAGTGACGAGGCAGGCGACTGGTTTCGGAGGGGCCTAGCGCCAGAGTGCTCCATGCGCGTTCCATTCGACGAGCAAATGAAGCACGCTTGGGTGGGTCGTCACGCCCTGCCCAGGAGCTTCACCGCCAACGGCAATGTGGTCCGAAGGGAGTCACTCGGTGAGGCTTGGCTTGAATGGCCATCGCGGGATTTCCTGCCCTCCTCAACTTAGGATGTTAAGACACTCGTTGCTTGCGTTCCCTTGCATTCGCCCATTGTGGACATCCCCTTTTTCCGCGGCCTAGCCAAACACCCGCTCATCAAGGGCGATCCATCATGTCGTTAGTCGGTTAGGGTTCCCGTCTTCTGCCCCTGATCGTCCCGCTCACTTCCTCTGACACCCCTGTTCACCACGTCACCCCACCCCCCCACAGGTTGTATGCCCCGGGAGCTCCACCCGCTGATGCTGGATGTGGTGCCCATGGGGTTGACCCGGCCGGGGAAGGAGGAGGTGGACAACCTGATGACGGAGATGGCGGTGAGGGCCACACGGGGGCTGATGGGGGTCGATTGTTTTGCAGGAAAGGATTGGTGCGTAGGCTGCTTGGGTCCTGAATCCTGGAAGGAGTGGAGTGGGCCCGAGCAGGCCAGAACTGCCTCCCGGGAGCGGAGTGGAGCCCCGAGCAGGCGGGTCCGAGCAGGCCAAGTAGCGGACCTGAGTGGAGGACCGTAGTAGGGCCCAGTGGGTTGCAGCTAGCGTCCCGGCTAGGGAAGGGCATCTGCACCGCACCACCACCACCTGGGGCCCAAGGGCTTGTGGGTCGGCTCCCTGGAGGGACACACCCCCGTACACACATACACACACCCGGGCCGCGTAGAGGGCACTGCGGTCGAATGCGGTTGAGCTGTACTGGCCCTTGCTTTACTTCATATGCGCCGTAATCCCCGTTGGGTGTAGTTAATTGCGTGTTGGGTTGGGTTTTCTCTCCGGGACCCCCCGCGGGTTGTCGTCAGAGCGTCGGTTCAAGCTGCCAAGCTGTGTCAAGCCTTTCCCACCAACGCTCTTATGGGCAAGAGCATTCTAGATGCGCCAGGTTATCAGTACTTCCTGGCATTTATGTGTTATGTATGTATGCTGTACCTTTCCAACGCGAAGTACGCTCCCTCCGAAGCCCTTCAGTGTATCTCAGCCTGGGCACCCGCACCCCTCCCCTCCACCCTGCTCCCCACGGCTGCTACCCCACTGCCCCAGATGACCGAGCCGCCCAGCGTCGCCAAGCCGGCCATGCCCTGGCAGGTGGTGGAGGGGCCTCAGGGCCCCGGACCCGACTTCTCGGCGGGTGGCGGGGTGGTGGTAGTGGAGGGGTTCACACCGATGGTCTCCGATGTGGACCCGGCGCGGGACACGTCCGTCGTGGAGCGCTACGAGGTGGCGGAAGAGCAGAGGGACGACGGCACACGAGTCGTCGGTGAGTGGAGGTGTCGGGTCAGGGCCCCGCCGGCTGTAGCTGGGCGCTGGTTGAGCTGTGTGGGGAACTGAGAATGCGATGGGCCCAGATTCCAGCGGGGTTAGGTTGGGGCTTTAGGGGCTTGCCGGGAGCTGCACATTTTCGAATGTTGTGGTAACACAGACTGTTATATTTTGTCAAAGTTGGTCCGCTTACGGCTGCCTCCGGTTGCTGGCCCAGCCACCGGTGGGGGCGCGCTGGGTACCACACGTGCTAATTTCTGGGATTCCAGTCATGGCCTGTGGGAGGAGTGTTGCAGGGATAGCGCGGGGATGGTCGTGATTTTTGTTGGGACATGTGCTCAGCGCACCGTGTCCCCCCCTGGGTGCTCCCTCCCCATCGCGCTGTGACGTGTGAGCAGCCGCCATTCTTGTGATCCCGTCCTGACCCCCTCACTGCACAACTAACCCGGTGTGGTCTGATCACGGAGGCCGACACACTACTTGCAAATGTACCACGGCGAGGTGTCACGAACCCTCGGGTGCGGGGGATTCAGAACCCCACGTTTCCCTTCCCGTGCATTTCCCATTCGGCCTTTCTCACACACACACACACACACACACACACACACACACACACACACACGCACACGCGGTCCCCAACGGTCAGTTGCACCGTGCTTGGGATCTCGGCAGTGGGGGCTGTGGGCGTCTTCAGTTTGGCTTCCAGTGTCATTGCCATCATCGTCGTCATCATCGTAGCCTCTGCTCCCTCACCCCCCCTGGCCCCCTACCTCCCCTGTGGTCCCGCCGGGAAACTCACAGAGGAGCTCCGAGTGGTGTCCGGAAAGACCGACGGCGCCTTCAGCCGGGCGGCCAAGGCGCTGCAGGTGAGGAACCGGGTGCGAGGGAGGGCGAGGGCCACTCCTCACAGAGCGGGTGCACGTGAGCTCACCTCGTGAACCCCTACACCCGTACTCGCAGGCCGCCATGGCTCGCCGGGCAGAGGCCGGGCAGTGGGTGATGGCCAATCCTCGTGGCAGCACCTTCGACGACATCGCTCGACAGAATCAGATGCGCGCACAGGTGGGTGGGTGGGTGTGGGGGCCTTGAGGGTACATATCAGGTCGGGCGCAGGTGGAGGACAGACAGCGCGTGGGTGAAGGTTTAGGTCAAGGATGGTCCATGCACAGTTACGGGCTGGGGACCCGTTGGCCACCTCTCTAGCCTTCCTTTCGTCACCGCTGTTTCGTGTCAGCTCTGGGCACAGGATGTAAACGGAGCTTTAGGAAATGCCCATGAAGAGGGCACTTCATGTTATTGCGCTGCACGGCATGCCCGGGCCAACACAGGTTTGCAAACCAAGAACTTGCTAGCTGCGTGCTGTATTGTCCGTATCCGGCGGGACCCTGATAGCAGTGGAACCTTTTCCGCACCCCGCGGCTTTGTCAGCGGCCTTGGCACGACCCACAGCAGGACACAACGCCGTTCCGTTGCGGTCGTCTTGCAGGTGACCCAGCCCCAGCAGGCGCCGGCTGCCAAGCGACGCGAAAGCAGCACCGGCGGTCCCGCGCCTCAGGTCCAGAGCGCACGGAGCCGCAACATAGAGGCCGTGCCTGTGGCCGCCTCTGTCGTCCGCAACGCCTCCCCACTCCCACTCCCCGCTGCCTCCGCACCAGCTGGGCGGAACAGGAGCCCCGGTCCCAAGGGCGCCAAGGGGCCGGCCAAGAACAGCAAGGCGGCCAAGTATTAGCAGGGCTGTGCGCGGGATGGGAGTGGAGATGGCAGGAGGACCTCTGTAAATACTTTTGTTCGTTAGGTCCGTGGGTCGCACAGCGGCTGCTTTTTCCCCTGGATCGGCTGTGCTTGCACATTTTTATTTTTGCGGGGCAATGTGTGGTGGGGGACAGCTCCGAAGCCCTTTTTTGCGCTGCACTGTCGCCTGTTTTGATGGTGGTCGCGAAGGGGTTGACAGCATTAGTTTATGCGCACGTCTGTGTCGCGATTAACACAACGTCAACCGTAAACACAACCCCCCACGTGACCTGGCCAGGCGTCCAGGCAGCCAGCTGTATCGTGAAAGGCAGTTGGCTACACCTGCAGGTGGCTAATGAGTGTCCACCCGCAGGCGGCGTGGCTGTATATTCATCCTTTGTGAGCTGGAGGTCGCACTGCCCTTGCTGTCTCTTTTAGTTCTTGGGAGGCTAGTCTCCATCAGGGGGCCCTCTTGGGGTTTCTTGACCATTCATGTACCCAATCCATTGTGCATCTGTTCCCTGCCTGGTGCAAGGGTACGTCTGACAAGTAATGGAAAGTATTAAAGCTGTCTGTATGCTTTATGCGAAGTGTTAATTTGCGGTCCGCAATAGGTGGCATTCTTATTTCAATGCTGTGGGAGGTTCGTACTATTCGTACGAAGGTGTGAGGTGGCTGTATCAACACGTGGTGTGCCATGACCTGGCCCATGGGGGTCAGGGCAGGGGGCAAGTGGCGCCCTTTCCACGGGGCTCGCCCCGTACGACCTTGTGAATAGTGTTACATAACGACTCCATGCAATAGCGGCTACCGGCTACCGGCTGTCGAATGTGCCGGGGACACGGGTGGCATGAAGAGGGGCCCAGCTTGCAGCACGTGCTCCTAAATGTTACTAGGGTTTATGTATGGGGTGACGGAATGGGCGCATTATGCCCTGTCCTCACACCATTCCATGTTTACGGTTTGGTACGTGTCTGGAGTATATTTTGTAGAGCTCAGCTGTATGTTATGTATGTGAGTTCAGTGCCCACGAGGCCATTATGGTTAAATAACACACACGAATAATCAGAACCCGTGAGCTGCGTATGTGTATATGTGCACAGTCCACCTTCACCAAGAAAGAGGATGTATCGAGTAGCGTCTAGCGTGACCCATTATACATAGGGATGTAGGCGAGGGCTTGAAAGGTGGAGCAGATACATATGAGCGGGTGGCGCCCGGTGCAGGTGTCCAGTCCAGCGGTCCAGCACAGGACCCAGACTTCCCAATCCTATCAGGCTGCAAGGAAATATTGACAAGATGTGCGCATCGCTGTTGACATTCCTTCTGGAGACGAAAGTGAGAGAAGCTAGGGTTGGTTGACCACTGCCAGTAATGGTGGACCGCAATGTGAACCAGAGCGTGATTACCGCATGTGAGGCAAGCAGCCAGGTTTGTTGTGTGGGGTGTAGGTCTCTCCGTGACATGGTTATTTTTAAAATATATTGTTTCATAGGCTATAGCCCAAATGGGGGAGTAGTCGGCCCGGGGTCTCCTGCTGTGCTGGACCATATGCGGCAACTTTCCGGCGTGCAACTGTGTTTACGGTGGACTTTGCTTGCAGATGAACAGGAGGGTTGTGCAGTTCTGTCCTCATACTCTGATGTTGCATGCCACGTGACTGGTCCTGACCGCGCTCAGTATGAAAGGATTAGCTGTTTATGCCTGAAAAGCTGAGATTCAAGTAGCCAGGCCTTGCTCTGACCAACCGCAGACATGGAAAGACAAGTGATCCGCTCTTGTTCGACCAAAAGAAATGGCACCACCGTCCACTGCATTATGATCCACCATGTTTCGTCCTTACGTTGACCCCGCTATGTCCTATCGGAGCATCGCCCGCATGAGCAACACACATAAGAAACACCTCATGCGGCTCTGGTGGCTTGAATCATGGCCGGCAAGACCGCATGCCCCTAGGGACCATCATTTCGCTGGTTGTCAAATGATACACAGCACCAGTGGACTCCCTCTCCCTCATCATATCAGGCGAGGCGATGTAAGGTATATTGGGTGGGTGCAAAAGCACCTTCCCCGCCGGGGGATGGTCAAATGCCCCTCACCACCTAAATGAGGATCTTGTACTTGATATTCTTGGGGACCCGGTCGATGGTGACCCGCCCGTCAAACGACAAGCTAGCCAGCAGCCAAGGATCTGCGGCACTCCACGCCATGCCGTACACGCTGTCCTCGTGCTCATCCCAGCTGGCCACCTTGCCGTCCAGGTCACCAGACCTGTGGAAAGACGGAATACGAGGGAAGCGGCGGGGCGCGGCTGCTCAGGTAACAGCCATCAGCGGCGCGATGTGAAAAGTGGGCAAGTCATAAACACCGCCACAACCGGTAACTGCCTCTTATCAGTGAATTAGGTTGACGCTAACAGGAGGTGACTGCGGCGGGAGCCAGGCCAGGATGCGATCCCACGACGCGCGTGTTCATCACGGTGGTGGAACGCGCCCATACACACATGCTGCTTCTCATGCAGCCCACACACGCATTCAGTACCCTTGATAGCCCCCTCGCACAATATCTCGGCACCATGAGAGCCCCAAGTCCCCACGCACTGCCCACCCTCGCTCAGCAGACCGCACCTGCCGGGAGCCTTGTGCGCTGCAGCCGCACCAGCCCCCGCCGCAGCAACAGAGGCAGCGCCAGGAACGGCAGCTGGAAGCGCTCCGGCCGCCATCGTGCCCGCCACCGCGGTGCCGCCGCCCGCCGCCCCTCCCGTTATCTCTGGCGCCCCTGCGGGTGCCGCCACTCCCGGCAGTGCCGCCAAGTTGGGCGTGTAGTACAGGTTGACGCAGCAGTCTGAGGAGCATGACGCTATTAGGGAGTCGTTCACGGGGTTGTAGGCGGCCCGCCACACCCAGTGCCGGTGACCCCCCAGCTCCAAAAGGGCCTGACCGGGGTTCCTGAGGCCAGGGGTTGGGGTAAGATACGGCATCAGGCAACAGTAAGGTGTGAACTCATCAGGCAGGCGGTAGGCAGATGGTTGAGGCCCAACGCTGACGTGCTTTGCGCACTGAAAGGGCCAGGACCCTGTAACGCATGACGCATCCAGCCATTTCGCGACCCTGTGCCGGATGACCCTACGAGGCCTTCTGTATGCAGTGCAGTGCAGCGCAGTGCAGTGCTCCTCCTAAGGGGCTGCAGTGCGCCGGCCGCTTTCCTGGGTACATCACGACCACAAATGAAATGGCGTCATGGTCGGGTCGCCTCATCCCTTCCGACGGGACACGTGTTTTTCCTCCTCCGCAAGACCCCTCCCGCCTTCCGATTCCCCGCCTGCCCAACCTGAGGTCCCAGAACCGCAGCTTGCAGTCGTCTCCAGCAGTCAACACCCGCGTGTCGTTGTGTGGTGCGAAGCTGATGGAGCGGACGGGCATCTTGTGGGCCATCTTGATTTCACCTATGGGCCGACCAAGGTTGCGGAGGTCCCACGTCTGCGCGGAACACCAGGCAGGCAGGGAGGGAGGGAGGGAGCCGGGGCGGATAACACTGAAGGACAGGCAAACGAACCGAAGGGGTCAACCACCGAGAAAAAAGCTGGGGATCCGAGAAACCAGGGAGGAATGATGACGATCTTGCATCTCAGGCATAATCCAGATCCTCAGCTCTGCAGCGGCCAGCTAGGTGAGCCCGTCCGGCGACTGCTCCCAGGGGGCTGCCAACGTAACCTCACCCCGTAGCGCCGGACTCCTATACGGACCCGCCGCCCGCATCCCCCCTTCCGCAGCCGTAATCTCAACACGAATTGCACTTGCCTGTACGTCATTACTGCCTGCCGTACACAACAGCGATGCATTACGAGGGTGTAGCGCTCCTGACCACAGCTGCACCATCTCCCCGGCGGGGCAGCTTGAGGTGCACTGCGGAACGGGAAGAAGTCAGCATGGGGGCGGAGGGGAGAGATGGTAAATGAAAGGAGCGAATAGGGGCGCAGGGCGCTGGACGGAAGGGGTCATGGTGGGGCCGCCAATGTCCCAGCCACGTGGGTGACACGGACACGCACCGCAAGTCCACGTGCCTCTCCAGCTATACGTTTCCTAGCAAAGGCGGATGTGTAGCTGAAGAGCGCGGCTTGCGGACTGAGCAGAAGCCCCGACCTAGCCCGAACCACGTGGCCACGCAGACGTCGCCTTAACTCCTTAGGCAACCACGAGCGTGCGGCTGACGTGCCAAACATGACGCAGTAACCCTAACGGCTTGTGAAAACAGCAATGCGAAGCCGAGGATTTCCGAAGCTCTCAAGCAGCGCGCAAAACAAAGGGTTTGGGGTTTAACAAACGGAGGGCCCATGTCGCACCTCTGCGCCCGCACCGGTAATTGACCACTTCTTGAGGAAACCCTCCTCCAACGTCACCACGGTGTCAGTCTGTTGCGAGCTCCACAATGCGCTGCAAGGCAGCACGGCACGGGTCCGAGGAAAAGGTGTACACAGGACACGCCATGTTTGGAACAACAGCAGCAAGGTAACCGATCGGGAAGGGCATGGAGATGGAAGCGACACTTGAATGGTACCTAGATGTAATGCCAACGACGGGCCACCTCTCTATTGCCACCATAGTCGTGACGTGCACGGCTTCCGGCCAAATGGCACCAGGGGAGCGCCGTGCTCTACCCCGGTGCGGGAATATCCCATGTACAGCATGGTGCTCCCCTTCTGCTATCTCGCCGGCCGCCACCGGTTGAGATACCTGGCGGTCTGGAGGGGAATCATAGCGCTTAGGCTCGTGCACCCTTTCCGGCCGCCTCTTGCCGGTTACTGCCATATACAGTTCCGCTAGCCATGGCCCTTTCCCCCCTCCCAGTAAGGCTGCTCGCTCCGCGCCGTTTCCCTCACTTCCCAGCCCTGCTGCACACCCGGGGACCACCTCGGGTGTTTGTAGGCTGTCCGTCCGGAACCTCAGGGCCCCCTTGGGAGGGATTGGGCACGTCTCCACCACTATGGCACAACCTCCTCTCTAGGACTCTCCTTCGCATCTTCCCACATAGCAGGTCCTCCCCTACCCGGGCCTTCCTTCTAAACCCCACTACAGGCGCCTCCGTCCCCTTCATTACCCACCAGCGCATGGCTCGGCTCTGCCCGGCCAGCTCTGCCTGCTGCTCCAGCTGCAGCTCGGGACTGCGGCCAGCTGCTGCAGCCGGCTGCCCCGCGGAGGAGGACTCTCCGTCCACAACCCTCCACAAGGTAGCGCTACTGTTACCGGCTGCGGGTGCGGACAGCGGGAAAGAGGTAAGTGAGGCGGTACCGAAGAAGTTACAAACGAGTAACCCTAAGGTGGCTGGAGGTGAACACGCATGCCCTGATGTAGGGTGTTGCAACCCTAAGTGCAGGATTAGAGGCGAGTTAACACGCAGCAACCCCTTGGCACCATGCATCGCGGCGCATTCCGGGTGCAGATGATGGTGCTTTACCTTTCGCCCATACAGACACGAAAACATCGTCTCGCGTCGGGCACGGTGCGATGTCCCAAACCTCGGCTGGGTGTGAGTAAGCAAGCTTGCAAACCAGCTGTTCGTTGTCCGCGTCATATTGAAGCATGCGTACCTGTACTCGAGGCACGGCATGTAGTTGGAATTTGTTCATGATACCCATCATGATGGATACCTCATCACCCCACCCTCACCTCATTCTCCTCTCGCAGAGCTGTGGTGCCAACAAGCCATTTTGAGCTGATCGTGTCACTTGGCAAGGCCACTAGGACACGCGCCTGATACTTCAAGGAATAATTGGTCGTCGCTTCCCCCATAATCTCGCTGTTCGGTTCAAGAGCTTTCAAATTGCGTCTATCCTACTCCCTATAACCGTTATAAACAAGGTGGCCGTAAAAGTTTCAAACACAGATGCCCCACTCGTGGATCGAAGGACTTGGGTGCTTAAAGATATTTCATCTACATTCCAGCCCTAAAACGATATCGAGCGTATTTCAGAGGCCTGCTAGGAGGCGCTGCTGCCTCCACGCTTGTATGCGCTTATTAAGCGAGTTAATGACACTCTACTCCGGTCGTCATAAGTAAAAAGTCACATCGCGTCTCCAGTCAAAGGAGAGTATAGCCTGGCTTGCGACACCTTGAGATCATGGCGTCAAAAAACATGGCGACCTGGTAACATTGCAACGAATTCGGTTGTGCTAGCAGCACCTCTGGGCCCGAACCGCCGATGCTCAAAAGGTCCGTACCAGTGCACCGAAAGTACTTTAGTATAACTTATGTTAACCCGCTGTCGCTGCGCAGCATAGCGGCTTGTGCTTACAGGTCTTCAGCCCGACACCTCTTGACCTGCCTAGCCAGCCGATTAGCTTGGTGACCAGCATGGACTAACCAAACAATTGCATACGCACCCCATGTCATCCAGCATTCTGGCAGCATGGGAAACAATCTGCACCTAAGCCGCGGGGAAACGTCATGAAGTAGGTAGCTGTGCATGCCTATAGTGGGGGTGCCGCAAACCAAGAAAAGTCCCCGATCGCGCTGCGGTCCGTAGCAGTCCTAACCCAGGTCGCCGGATGATGTTCCTAGCTATTTGGGAGTAAAGCAGAACTAAAGCCTATGCCTTACCGGTCTTGGCAGATGCACATCTCCAGGCCACCGTTCGTTCTTGTACCTTGACTTGTGTTGCAAGTCGGCACAACTGGCAGCAGGCACCCTGATCATATCAACCACCCCCCTCCATCAGTCGCTACAAGCATTACAGGTAGCCACTGCGGATCCTTTCGGCTCTCACCGTGCACCCGACTCCGTCCAATTTCAGGATGGAAATACTGCGGTTCGTGAAAATGGCATCATCGATGTTCTATCTTAACCTGCTAGACGTGCCTGTGGAACCATACACGTTCACGGTAAGGTCCATCAGCAAACAGTCCGGTCCATGCTTCAACTTGATTGTCGTGGTGGCCCGACAGGCCAGGTTGGGAGTGTTGCATGGCCCCCCCACGGCAATGGCGGCACCGTCCCCTCCGTAGATGGCCGCGGATGCCATTAGATGCAATTGGAAGCACATGGCACGTTAACGGCTGCCAAGCCACCGCCCACCTGCTCGTATCACGTGAGCCTCAGTTTGTGGCGTACACCCCCTCCACCCGCGGAGGGCCGCTTTCCTCTACCCCTTCCAAAACGAGAAAGGCCACGCCCACATAAAATAGCCAATTGATTAGTACGAGAAGTTTTTTCAATAGAACATATACATATGATGCCGACATCTGACCATTTCTGGCCATTGTACGTGGCCACCATGAATGTGCTCAGGGCCGCGACATCAGGTAAGGCAAGGTAAACCTGTTACGAGGTCAAGGGCCACACATCAACGCCCCGGCAACCACTTCCCGCTTCCCGGATCCGGTCCACTAAGGCCAACCGCCCGGTCCGGCATTGCAGCACGGCACGAGCACTCAGAAACCCACGCATCAACTCAAAAACGTCAGAATTCGTATGCAGTTACGCGTCAACCATTGACCATGAAACACCCAACATGCCTGTTTCCGGGGCGGGAAAGAGAACCGGGTCACAAGGTGCCAAACATGTCGGCCATATCATTGTTATGCTCGAAAAAGGTTACATTTCAAAGCCACCTTCCGCAGAAACATGAACCGCGCGAGCCTATGCTGTCTTTGAGCCTTGGCATACAAGCTGACCCCGACAGCAGCATGCCGGCTCCCTTCGGTTCCAAGCGCCTGAGGGCAGCCGATGAAGTGGTAGGAGGATCCTAAGCCCCCTAAGCATTGTCGCCATTCGTATTGTAGTATGTCGGCTTCTAAAAGGGCATATGGAACCGGGAGTTACCCCGCTGCACTGGCCTGGGCTTGCTGCGGTCACGCGCGTATTCCTGCGACAGAATTAGGGTGCGGATGGGGGCGTGTAACACGCCAGTAACAAAAAACCAGGCGGGATCCATTCACCTGCGATACAGGCACTCATTTCGGGTCCTCTCCAACGAATCATCCGTTTTCTTGGTGGGGAGACCCGCACCATCCTTCCCAAACCCCACAACCAAGTCCAGCCCAGGAGTCCGCAGGGTCTTTCAATCCGCATGGCACAAGGCCCGCAAGGCAGGGCAAGTGCCATCGAGCGAGCGTGTTCATAGCTCATTCACAGAGAGCCCCGACCTTGCCGTGCAACCTATATCCCGCTAGTTCAAGGCTAGATCATCAGCGCCGCAAGCTGTCTCCCCACCTTCAAGAACAGCTCGAGCTGCATGTCGTCGTTCCTCCGGAAGCTAGGTACCAGGCGGGAGGGGTCGTCTGTGGGGTGACACGCGTGTGAACAAAGCATATCAGAGACATGTCCACATGGGTACATGCTACCCGAGTACCATGTTCCCTCACCGTCATAGCACTCGCCAGGCGAGACGCGGTATCAAACAGCTTACCTAGGTCCTCGATTTTGATATGCTTATTGCCCCCGCCGCGAAACCGGAAATCGTCCATGGCATCGATCATCTGCCCTGGACCCAGCCCTGCCGTGCCCAGAACTGCCTGTGCCGTAGAACTCGCACCGCCACCGAAGCTGCGACCTGCGGGCGGGTACACCACAGCGCTTTCCTCCCCCAGAAAATCACTGCTGGGATCCTGCGCAGTCGCGTAACCCACAGGTGGCAGCAAACAAGAGGTTAGAGGCGGCGCAGGGAGGAGCATCGAATCCGGAAAAGCGCGCACATTGCAGGGCACGCAAACCATGGGACGTAACCAAAAACGCTGGATGGCACATCGCCAGACGGCCAAGACCGAGGCTAACAACGTGAGAGCATGAGGACATGGGTCAGCATGACATGACGGGGTGCTCAGCAGGAAAACCTTGCAGCATCACCCAGGCGATGACTCCCTGGGAAGGCATACGGGCTAACCAGGCAGCCTATTTTACTTGGCTCAGTAAAGACCTTCATTCTGCCCACCCTGCTATGTCCGCACCTGAGGTCGGGTGAGGCCTGACAGCATAGCAACCCGGGGGCCGTCACCGATGCCGCCACTGCCGCTGCCCCGGCTGCTAAAGCTCCCGGGTGCCGGGCGGCCCATGGGCCAATGCCCGTCGGCTTGACGGCCCGGGGCCAGCGGGGGCAGACCAGGTGCTGCAGTCATACCCGCATGCCCTGCACTAAGAGAGCGCAGGGCGCCCATCATGGGGTTGCGGGGCCCTGCGACGGCCCCTGTAGGGAAGCGGCTGCCTGCACCGGTCCGGGAGGCCCCTGTAGCGAGGACTCTGGCTGGCGCGTCGCCACCGGATCCGACGCCCTCGATACCGATACTGGTGCCGAGTTCCGTGGCCACACCGGCCGTTGGCGACACCGGGGCCGCAGCTTGGCCGGGCGGAACCGGCGGTAGCCGCACCGGTGCGGGAACGAGGCTGGAGCCGCCGGCAAGGAGCGGCAGCCGCGCTGCTAGGGGCATGTGTAGGCCGAGCGCCGATGCCGTGTGCGGGGTGGCACTGACAAGGTCCGACCGTACCGGTTCACCAAGTGCACCGCAAATGGCACGGTAGCTTGATGCAATATCCTGACGAAGGGCAGCCAAGCTGGACGCCGTATCACCGGTGTATATCAGGGGCGGTCTGGGCGACAGGGTTAACGGGGAGGCCATGGGCAGGCGCCATGCTGAGCAACTGTGCAGTGACGTGAAGGGCTTTTGCGAAAGGCGATGGTGAAGCTGGTTCCAACGACATGCTACAGGGAGCCCCTAAGGCGTCGCTACATGAGTCAATTTGTTGCCATTTTCAAGGTGCCGAGTGGAGACAGGCGACTACCTGTCTGGGGCCCCCGCCAGAGCAGACAAGGGGCCTGCCACAGCGGGCGGCAGGAGCGCTGTGCCCATAGGCGCTGGCCGTGGCACTACCATCAAAGGGCCCGCTCGCAAAGGTACCACAGCCCCTGTTGCTGCCGCTGCACTCGGGCTGTCAAGCTGAGGCTCGGAGATGACGACTGGAGGAGGCCTCCGCTGCACCACTCTTTCTTGGTGACTATCATGATCTAACATGGACATTATTAAAATCTATGAGAAACTCTTTTGCTCGGCATATCGCCTGTACCTAAGCGAAGGATTGTCGAAAAAACGCCAGCTCACCATTGCCGCAATATAATTCCGCAACCAATATATATTTTCTGAAGCTGTATGGTGAACAGTAATGGTACAAGGCCGGAATTGTACATCCAATCTATGGGCTTGACCAGTGCATCCATCAAATCAGTCAGGTAGGACTCTCCTGACTAAAGTCTGGTGAGTCGTTTAACGCAAAGGTATAAGAATCTTGTCCTCCTTGGAACTTGCACATGTCTATTAGGTTTATGCCGTTAGTCTCGTTGCAAATGGATCCTGCCTGTTTAAAAAGGGACGTCTCTCCCAACCGTCACATTTCCCAATACAATAAACAAACTCTGCACATACAACACCAGACGGCACGAACTAGCAAACGTGACCTCCGTGGGGCTTGCACAGTCCTTGGAACCTAGGTGATCATGGACTCTGAACCTGAAAACATGGAGCTGGAGCGGCATCGTCGTGTCCTTAGGAGTCTTAGTCGTCGCGAGCTGCAAGCTAGAGCAAAGGCCCTTGGCCTCCGAGCAAACGGCAAAAGCGTCGACATCATCGAGACAGTTGCCAAAGTGCTGTCAAGTGGGTAGTAGAGGACTATTTCAATATGGTGCCTGACGGGAAAGCAAGAAACTCATTCGCTACACACTTATTTGCTGCACGTACAGCGCCGAGCAGTCCTTTTAAGCCCACAGACACCGATGTACAGGTACAGGTAAATTGCCCAGGTGGAGCAAGGCGATGCCAGATATTTTCTGAACGGGGTTACCTTGTTTCATCCTGCGCTCTCTAGGTCGACAACAGCGATGATGCTGACGACCAAGAGAATGACAAACTGTTGGGTGACCCCGGTTCACGTCTGAAGCTGGCTCAATCCGTTGGCGTTGCCCAGCCTCCAAGTAAGCGGCATCTGGCATACCAAGTGTTCAAATTTTATAAATCATGTCAGGAAGTCAGCACAATGGTAACCACTATGGTTACGTGGAACAGCGGACCGGGTCGAGACTCAAAAAACCCGAGGGTGGGGATCCTCGTGCTCCGGAAATGGCTACAGTAGACCTGCCAGTCCCCTCTGTCTAGTCCTACGTCACAAATATTGCCCCGTTTTGCAGTGTAATAATTTTGATTTCTTACCGGGACTTTCATGTCTCCAGGTTTTCCGTCGGAACCGTGCACCATGGACTGTTTGTGCGACATTGACCAGGACAGTAATCAGCCATCACAGCTGGAGGCAATGTCGGCTACTGTTGAGCCAGCGACATCAGCTGGTCCAGTCGTATCGGCCGGTATGGTATCTACCATGGCATCTGTGGCAGCAGGTGCCGGAACGGTGCCGGGCTCCTCTCTGGCGCTCTTTACCAAGACTTCACCCGAAGACCTGGCCGCGGGTACTTCTGCGGCCGCGTTAGCAGTTTCTTTAAGCAATTTCCACTTCGGATCGCAGCTGAAGTCCGCATTGCCCGGGTCCACATTAGCGCTACTCCGCCGTGACATTCATCAGTCGCCTTCAGGAAACAGCCAGTGCTCCCTGGCGGGGTCCCCACGCCATGATATGGAAGGCGACGATACGGTGTTCCCAGGAGAGATCCTGAAGTCATACAAGTCTGAGCCCCAGCAGGATGAGCCAACGGCTCCACCCCAAGCAGAAGGCTGGGCGGCATCCATTGGGGAGCCTGCGCGACGCCTGGCCTTCATGTCCAACCCCTTGCCTCTGCAAGTCAATAACTCCAAGGAAGCATCCACAAACGGCAATACTTTGTGCGATGGCGGTCGGCAATCACCCACGGAAACTGGAAATGGTACTTTTGAAGTCATGGCTGAGCTTGGACATCCCAACAGTGGTCAGATGAGCAGTGCTGGGAACAATGGCGGCAGCAACGCTCCAAACACACCGTTGTCGTTCGCGCCCGACGACTTTAACCCCAACACCAGCTGCAGCCATAACAAGGAAGCTTCATCGTCACCAATCCAGCCTTCTGGCTCGCCTCATCTAACCTTTGTTGCCGCATCTGGCGCTGCTGTTGCTGCTGCGGGCTCAACCACACCCACCGTCGTGAAACAGGTTTCTGGTCCCTCTAGGCCCATGCCTGAATTTGTAACGGAACGCACCCCGCTGAGACAACAGCGTCTACTGGCAGTGCAGGTTCGGCCGCCAGGAGCGCCCACTGCAACACCGTCTGGCCGTGTGGCGGCAGTGCCACGCACGCCAGGCACTGGCATCCGCACGCCCGCGCGACGGGTGCCTGTCTGCACGGACGAAGTAAAGGAGCGTGCGATGGACGTGTGGGTCATGCGAAACCTGGTCACACCGAGGGGACTCTCAACACCTGCTGAAGGTGTGTGGATTGTTGGTTATCCTCGAATTGGCTATACCAATGTTAGGCACCTGAACCACTGAGCTCTTCCTATTGTAGGACACGCAATGTACGAACACCAGTCGCCGCCCAGTTTAGTTGGCAGAGGGTGTATACCTAGTCACGGCGTCAGCTTTGGGAGTTGTTTTGCGTATGTAGAGTCGTCAATCTGACGCAACATGCGCCCCTATCATTCCAGGCTTGCCGTGGGATGAGCTAGCGGGTCTGCGAGAAGTTAAGCGGCGTCTCAAGGTGCGGAAGCATGGCCAGTGTGGTACCTTTCCTTCAATGCCCCTACTGCGTGCAACACTTGTATGGCCTCGTTCAAACTTACCCACTGCTCAAACTAACTGTTTACTTCCCATGATCATGATCAGGAAATTTGCGTGGACAACTCTCCGCCGACTGAAGTGTCGTCTCCGTCAGTCGCGTTGCAGACGCGCGGCATCACTGTGGGCTCCAGCACGACTGGAAGCGCTGCAAAAGAGAACAAACGACCGAGAGGCGTTACCGAGCCGGCGGCGAGCGGCCAACAGCGCGCCGCAAAGTCCAACTGCCTGCCGAACGCGGCAGTACTGATAGCCGGTCCGAGCGGCAACGGAAAGAGTCTTTTGGCACGTGCCCTGAGGTCGGAGCTGGACGCTGCATACGTCCATGTTCCGCCGAACCTTGTCGACCGCCTCGCACAGGACCCTGGAGGAGCTGAAGTCGTCCTACGCTCCGTAGCCAGGGTGGGTATATTCAGAAAGCGCGCCGTTGCAAAAGGTATCCCGAGCCGACCGATCTCCGGCGCTGGTTATTTACTTTCAAGCCTCTGAAAACGCGCATAGCTACAGTGCATTTAGCACAGGATGCCGACGAGCATATGAGCATGTAAGTTAAAACATCTTAAACATGCAAACGGAGGATGTGTAGCTGCACGCAACGCAGGACAGCAAACAGGTGCACGGACTATAATGCGCATTCCTCAATCGCCGTGTCGTTCAGGTCGCGACACACCTTCCAGGGCCGGTCGTCGTGCATATCGAGGACGTCGACCGGCTAGCCAGCGTGGAGGCGACGCGACAGAGCCAGGAACGCCGCCGATTGCGAGCAGGTTGGAAACGGGGATGATGCAGCGCTCACAGCGCGTACCCAAGCAATAGGCTGCTAGCGATTGCCACATTGACCAGCTCTGCTTAATGTGCTTAATGTGTCGCATTTCACAACCCGTTTGGTGATCCTGTATGATACGTTTAGTGCCACCCAGCCCGCCTTCCTTATGAAGCTCTCATAGTCAGGGATACTGTGCGGCAAGTTTTTTCCCGCCAAAACACCATGCGTTCTGCGCAGAGCTGCTTGTGGCTGTGGACGAGCTGCTGCTGCAGCCACTGATTAAGGTGTCCTCACCGGGCCAGGGCGGTGTGCGCAGCGCTTCGCCTGCTGCATCGCCTGGCTACGCAACCGCCGCGGCACATGCCGGCACGGGCGGCAACGGCAGTTCAACCAGGCCACGGTTCAAGGTTCTGGTGCTCACCACCACGAGCCGCCCCATGGATCTGGACGACTCCCTTGCTGCCAGCCTAGGTCGCACGGATCGTCTACTGGCGGTAAGAGAAACATGAATCTCCCTTGCATGCCCCTTGCGCACCCTAGAGTGGCATAACCGTGGGACGCCAGGTGATCTGTCTATTGCCTTCACATGTGTATGTGCCTGCTGCCTGATGGAAAATTTTGCTCAGCCAAACCGTTATCCTTTCGCGCTACGTCACAACCGATCCCGAACAGCGGTCGTAGTTCTCCCTGCAAGTTAGCCCGAGCATTGGCTTTGCGGCTGGCCAGCGGAAGCGAATTAATGGGTGCAATGACCACATCGGATACTGGCTATCTTGCATCGTTGATATTTTATGATCCTCCCGATTCTTCTTCCTTCTGTGCGCTGTAGGCACCTCCTGGGCCAGATGATCGCGAACGGTTTCTGGTCAGGCGCCTCGCTTCTGTGGGTGCTGCACTGGATGTAGGACACGTTGAGAATGTAGTGAGGTGCGTAACAGGCTTGAGATTAGAGGCCGTCCAGAGGCCGAGATCACGGGAAGGAAACTGTTGTGAATGCCAATTGCACGTGCAGGCAGACAGAGGGCTTAAGCATGGCGCAGCTTGCGGCATTGTGTGACGAAGCAGTCAAGGCAGCGGCAGCCCGGCGGGTAAGTTCCATACGGCCTGCATAAAAGCATGTCCATAACCCATGGCCACGATGACAGTGTTATATTAATGGCCGTGAAATGCAAGTGTTCAGCATGGCACACGAGCAACTTACCCAATAGTTCAGCAGTCAGCAATGACGTATTAAGATGCCGCTGAAATTCTGAATGTTGGCAGCGAGGACGATTTCAGGGCAAGCGAAATAGACAGCGCTGTAGTTTGCAATGGACGATTGGCCGATTCATTTCTTGTATCCCCACTTCTTTCCCAAAAGAAGGCGCCAACCAGAGCCTCATAGATTCTTAACGATAATATCCGGAGTTAATAGCATGTGTGTGTCATTTAATTATGCCAGGCTTCGAGCCGAGCTGGCGAACCTGCGTCGCTGACCGTGGAGGATCTCGCGGTAGCGATGCGGCACCTAGGTCAGCAAGATGCCGCGGACAACATGGTCGAGCTGGAGCAGTGGCATGTGCGCATGAGTTCCATGCCGAGTCGCTGGGCGCAGATTGGCATGTGATGGCCGGGCATGAGGGTGGCCGTAGCTGATGTTGCACAATCACTGCTTTGGTTTGGGCACAACGCAGTCGCTGGCGGGCTTCTTCCTATTCCAGCAATGAAACGGGACCTACACGGTTCTCGGCATAGTGTACGCAGGTTTTTCATTACTTCATGATATGAACGCCACGCAATGAGCCCGAAAAAGTGAGGTATCGGTGAGGAGCCCAGCACGCGTACTTGCGTTTGCTCGTATCCAACGAGGTGCACATTCATTCGTGCCCGAGTTGGGCATCATCGACGCGCGACACGTGTAACGCTCGAGCGAGTCAGCGGTTACTTGTCCGCTACCCCCTGCATACGGCATTGTCCGGCGTTCTTGACGAAGCATACACGCACGTACCAGTAGGTAAAGAAACAGGTAGACCAGACATCAGAGGTAGACCAGGAGCCTTCCCATGCCAGCCCCTGCCGACGGTGCGGGGCCCGGCGACAGCTAGGCCTGATCTCGAAATAGAGATCAGGTGTGGCGTGGTCTGGCCATCGTCGGGGTTCTTGGCACTCTCGGCATGCCTCGCCTGCATCGCTAGGACATGTTCCCGAATCCTGCATCGTTCCAAATGTAAACGGGTCGGCGAAGCTGGGACTAAAAGCTCAGGACATATCGCCTGTCTGCCCTGGCGCGTCTGCGCCTACGGCGTCCTTCTTCCTTGTGAGACATGATGGACCCATTACGGGGCACTAACGTCATCATCCCATGGTGGACGCTATTGGATTGAAGGATTTTCGTCTCCCACACCTATGCCAGCCGCTGAAAATGGGTGCAGTTGCAAACCCTTACGACAAGCGGGACTCGAACGGCTCTCCGCAAATCCTGGGTGACTTCTATCATTTGCAACGGTGATATTTCATGTGCGCACAAGCCTGGCGAATAACCTCCGTTTCTCCTATTACAACAAACGTTGTACGATGGAACCTAACGGAGTTAGAGACAGACCTGAACATCGATCAGGCTACGTTTAGGCTAGATGCACCATATTCTTTCCTACGCTGCCTGTTAGATGGGCTATTAACGTGACCGAGCATTAAGCGGGTGACGCGTTCGGCTGGCCTTCCGTGTTCACATTCCGTGCATAATTGATGAAGGATACCATTGTTTACAATTACAGAATTACATTACATGCCTTTGGCTGTCTTACGGCGTTAATAGGAGCAAACGCGACTTTGACGTGAGCGGCGCCTTGCAAAGCTCGACGTGAAGAAACTGTATTTTTATTAGAGCATCACTGCGGCCTGCTGCTGCTAGTGTTTCGCAGCAGGCCGTGTGGAAGCCGCTTAGCGAATTCCGGACAACATGGCTTTGGCTCCAATGCTCCCGGGGCAAGCCATTAAGACCGCAGGGAGTATTTGGGCAAAAGCTATAGAGCAAGCAAACGAGGAGAGGAAAAAGCCAGGTGCGTTTGGTAACACACAGCCGCACATGTCGTCTTGATGGCCTGGTCTGAAGCCGTGCTATATCCGGAAGTGGTATGAACGCTGTGACGCATTTATAAATCAATTCTCCGTACCTTCTCCCGTGTGCGCAGGCGCCGACGGCCGAGGTGATGCGTACTGCTACTTCGTGGGGTCAAGGGCGTCAGGGAAGAGCACCTTGCTCAATCGCTTCCTCTATCCAACTCGCGTAGGTCGTGGACGCTTGCAATTGAAATTATTCCGGTTTCACCCATGCAATAGCCTGGTCTTGCGCCAGCCCCCTTGGGGCCCCAACCATCCTGCATCCTGGGCCCCCCTGCAAAGTCTTGCGCCACCATGTGACAGCACCAACGAACTTCGTCCCTCCCGACATGCATGTAACTGCATGCTTCGGAAAAATACTTAACGCCTCTGTTGGCACACTCTCTAAGACGACCTACGGGCATTGTTGCAGGCTGAAGTTCCAAAGCCTTCTGAGGGTATAGAGTACACGTATGCGCGCAAGCCCGCTGCATACGATCATGAGAAGAAGGACTTGGCGCACATATGGGAGGTCGGCGGCAGCCAGGAGTTTGCAGAGGAGATTGCCAACTCAGATCAGCTGTTCTTGACAGCGAAGCAGGTGCGGCTCTCCCATGCTGTGATGCAGGAACGGCCTGCTGCAAAACGCCGTTCCACGCTTTATGCCGTAAGGTTGGCATACAGAGCTGCTCTGCGACAATTGAAAAGTTCTTCAGGTTGCGGACCGTGATCCGGAACCCAATCGGCCCCGCAGATCACTTGACAAGCCCTGGCGTGCATGGGTCAGGTCGGGTTTGCTTCACATGCGATGCCAAGCGAGCCTTCTAGCGGTCTCACTTTACTGACAAATATGCATCTCTGCCTCACCTTGCTAATACACGTTACGCTGGTGAGCGCAGGTGACAACAGCCGTGGTGGTCATCGTGGTGGACTTGTCGGACCCGGCTGGCATTCTGCCCACTTTGTTGTATTGGACGGAGCAGGTCAAGAAGAAGCTCACCGCGACGTACGAGAAGTTTGAGAAGAAGGGGCTACAGCTGCCAGAGCAGCTCCGCCAGCGTGCCAAGTCTAAGCTATACGCCAGCAATGAGGACAAGGACGCCGTGTACCATAGCGGCATCTCGCTGGTCATTGCGGCGACGAAGTACGACGTGTTCAAGACCTCGGATCCTGAGGTCAAGAAGGTCATGTCCCGGTGCGTGCAGATGAGGGTGAAAAACGGGACGGGGCACATGAAGGGATGACACCGACATGCGGTACCGGACGAGAGGCTTGGTTGGACGCAGGAAGGATTGTTAATGAGTGTTGGAAGGTAGCTGTTGGTAGGGTTCGCACCTTGGCGCCGTGTTGGTGCCAACGTCAGTAGTAAAATGGTCGCGCAAGACTGCAACGCATGAGAGCTTACATGCGTGACGCCGTTGGAGAGCAATAACTTTGCCTGCCTACCTGCCTACCTGCCTGCTCACTGAAACGGTGCTTGCGATCGCAGAGTCCTGCGTTACATTGCGCACGCACATGGTGCCTTCCTCTGCTACCTGAGCGGCCTCCACGGCGGCGGCGGCGACGGCAGCGCCGCCGAGGACGCTGCGTTGCTCGACAACTTCACGAGGCTCATGAACCACCTCATCTTCACGGGACTGGAGAAGAAGCCGTGAGTAATGTGGATATGGCAAATCATCAGAGAACACGAACACCTGCGATATCCGGAGGTTGCAAGGGGTTCGCCGCAAAGAGTGGACTGCGATCCCTTATACGGCACACGGCTTTGGGGTCCTCGGCGCATTGCTCCTGAATCGCCTGTGGGAAGGTGGCAAGGGGTCTACTGAGGAATCCCCACCGGAATGACGGCACCTCTTATTGCATGGTTGAGAAGGCGCTATCTTGGGACTACGATCCTACCAACAGCGATGTAAACATGTGCTCTTACTTAAAAGCCGCTTGCCACCGGACAAATCCCTGTCCTTGCCGTGTATGTGCCGACAGAGTGCTCAAGATGCAACCCATGTCGGACCACAATGGGCCCATCATGATGCCGGCGGGAGCAGACACATTCAAATCCATCGGCAGGCCGCGCGGCGCAGCGGAGGGTAGCGTGACGGCCGGCTTGGCGGAGTGGCGCGAGCTATTTGAAAAGATGTTCCCCGGTGAGCAGAGGGTCCGCAGGGGATACTTGCACGTCCCGACCCGGTTGGCGTAGTCGGGTTTGAGGATTGGACCGTGATGGCAGCTCCATCCAATGTTTAGCAGCGTGCCATAGGCAGAGGCGGCTGTTTTCCCTGCCACCCTGCCGCGGTGGCGCTGTGCGCTGAGTTGTTGCTGTGTCGAACAAGTCTGTCTGTATTTCCTTGTGCTTGGTTGCAGGCGTGCGTGAGAAGGAGGCCAAGATGTCCGCCAAGGGAGCTAAGTTCGTCATTCCGGATCAGTACAAGGAAGAAGGCGCGTGGGGCTTGTGCCCTTGTAGCACTGAAGATGCGTCTGCGACTGCGCTTCATCCACGTCGTGCAGCTGATGTTTCCCTTCCGATGTCTTGTGTGCAGTATCCGGGCGCATATCGTGTGCTTGCCTGCATTGGCATAGGGGCCGCCAGGACTTCCCATCCCGCCTTGTGGATACTGATACCCTTAAGACTGAATCCCGTTGCCAAAGACGCGCTGCATTTGTGCACAACGCGTTGCGTGCCGTGCATCGCATCGTGACCAGAACTGTGTGACAGCAGCTGACAGAGCTGGACTTGCCAGTTGCGACACGCTTGCTGGGCTCCAGCGCGAGCGTGGGGAGTCCCTCACCACACCCCTACCTGTCGTGTCGTTCCTGACTCCGTGCAGAGGTTGATGCCGTGCGGCACCGGAAGCTCACGGAACTGGACAACTTCCGCAAGGAGCAGGTGGCGGCTGTGGAGGCCGCGAAGAAGAAGGCACTCATGGCAAAGGCCCAGCAGCAAGACGCAGCTGCCAAGAAAAAGGCAGCAGCTCCAGCTGGAGGTGCCAAGCCTAACGGCACATCCAAGGTGAAGGCGTCTGGTGATCCCACGACACCTCGCCGGCCTTCGGGGGCCGGGGCCTCTTAAGAGGGCTGAATTCTGATGTGCGTGATAGGGGCCCTGATGGGGACATTGCACGCGCGACAGCTAGGTGTGGGCCAGCACAGACCGGGGGATACGGTCTGTGCTGTTTCGTATGGCTGGGAGTGACATCACTGTCACGGCTGTGGTAGACATGTGAAAGAGCTCCACAGCCTGGACACATGGGACATAGACGTGCGTGCGCATAAGGTTCTGAGCGGTCTTAACTACTGCGGCGGTATCGCCAAAGGCAGGTGGGGTTTCATACCGCTGGCGGGATGGCGGGCGGCGATTACATGGGGTGATTCTGTACATATGTGTTCGACTCTTTTACCCTGACGCAAGCAGCTCAGCATAGTGTTCCGCACATGGACATGCATGGTGGCCGCTGGAGTAGGCGTTTTTCCCGTTTCTAGCTTTTCGAGCTGCGGGAGACTGGTCCCTAGGACGCTCGGGTGTGGGCACAGCGGGTTCCAGGCCAAGGTTTTCCCTGTTGACGTATCGCGGTTGGCAGCTCACCGGACATGGGCAAACGGGGGCATCTTGCGCTCTGCCTCCACTTCGCGGAGGGCTTTTGTGATGACATGCGACAGGGGAGCCTCGCAGGTTTCGACAGCTGAACAGCTATTTAGTTGGGTGTTGTCGTGTCCGTGAACAACGGCACCTGTACTGGAGCGTCCTGGGAAATGCCGGACGCTGCAGTTTACTGCAGTTTTGATTGACAACCGACTCAGCAGCGTGGCAGATTGCAGCTATGGTTAGTTGCGCGGGCAGGCGTGGAAAGGCACAAGTAGAGCGCAGGTCATAAGCTAGTGCGTGTGTATGGCCTACTTATGTTATTGCGATGGTGGCCCGCGGAAACATGTAATAACCCAGAATGCTGCCGTAACTTGGTGCCGCGCATCCGCTTGGGAGGCTTCGTTCCTTCGAGAGACCCTGTGTTCCGCAGTAGGATTGCACTGGGCTGGCCACGAACGTACCCTAATGACATGTTCGCTGCCACTGCCTGTATTATTGCGGAGCTTTCTGTTGCTTTACGCGTGTATGTATTTGTAGCCTTGATTGGAGCACAACATTCGCGCGCGACAGCCGGAGCCTATCCCCGTGCGACGCAAAGGAAATGCAGAAGACACACGCACATTTGCATATGGGGATTATTAGACGTCTCACAGTGTCAACGGGGTTCATCCCTTTCCAGGGAATATCATTGATTGTTCGCCAAACATTGTCAATGTGCATGCAAAGCATGAAATCACCTACGTCAATCAAGCGTTATCGTTCATTCAGCGAAATGGCTACAGTCAAAAGACGGCGATCAAAATGTACTGCATCCTTGGCGTGCAAATTGGTACTCATCTAACGCGTTCCTAGGTAGGCCTCGTAACATGACCATCACTTATTTATGTGCAGCAAAACAGGTCACACATTAAACTTAAGCCTCATCAGCAGCAATAACGACAGTCTTTTTCGTGTTCCTGTCCACATCCCGAACTGCCTCGTTTTAATCAAAATGCAGAACCTTATTTTTAAGAACAAAAATGCATGGTCCGTCAATCTATGCGTGCCAGGTCGCCGGCAGACGCTTCAGACGTGACCGCCTGAGGCAAAAACACTAATTACTTATCTGTAGGACCAAGTGTGCTGAACGCCCGGCGTTGCGTCCTTTCTGGAGATTTGCGAAATAGGAAGGTATTCAGCTGCGAATGAGGACTGGGTCAACCTTAGAGCTCCAAATACAAGGTGCGGTTCACTTTTCATTCTTCTCGATTGTGAAGGGATGTAGGGCCCTGGGTCACGTACCCCGCCGCTTGGACGAGTCGTCGAGCGCCAGCGTGTACGGTGTGGCATAAAACTCTGTTGAATCCGTGCTGCAGGTGCACGGACTGGCGCCACATCGAAAGATGAACCAACTCGGTCTCTTGGAGGGAGCGGCGGAAGGAGGAGCACGGGCGTTCAGCTAGGCCACGACAGGTAGGGGCTCCCCCAAAGGGCCATATTACAACCACAGGTTCAGGCGCCATACTATATTACGGCAACTGCGTACGACGCCGATGGTGTGACATGTGTCCTATGGGGAGGGGGTGAGCCATTACACGTAACGCTTGCTTGCATTGTGCGTTAATCATATACGTGCAACGACGTGACTGTCAGTGACAGCGGGCAGATTCCTAATTTCGGCGCGTACTCAGATGGTGACCCCTGCAACGCCGTCGTGTGCGCTCTTCATGCACGGATGGGTACCTCACTGCATCGCCTGCATCGCCTGCAGAGTCTGGTCGGCATGCGGCTCACGTGGCACTGCACAATCCCATTAGCCACAACCCGATGAGCCGCTGCGGCTCTGCTGCCCTCCCCCCCTTCCCCCCAGTCGCCAGCCTCTGCAACCCGCTCGAACACGCGAAGTCATTCGACTGCTTTCCCAAACCCTTAGTCCCTAAGTGTTAGGACTGCCTTCAACGGAAGATGCTACGCATGTTGATGTTGTTACAGGGTGGTTAAGCTTCACCAGCGGCCTCCTTCCCGAGGCAGTTCCCTGCTCTCCCCTGCTAGAGGGGCACCCTAAGCCATTCACCCCATCCGACTTCAGAGTGTATTCGTTGGGTTCGGCAACTCACCACCAGCATCCAACCAAATCTAGCGGATCAACGGCGCGTCAACTTAGTTCCTGGTCAGCTCGCGAGTCGCATGTTGTTTGTATGCAGCGAATGGATCAGCACGCAGGTCTAGTCAGGGATGACGGCCGCATCATCACCTCGCCCTCAGCATCAAACGACTCAAATATGAAAACCGTCGCAGGTCGGGGCCGCACCAACCCATCAGCCCTTACCTGAATTCCCTGGCGTACGGCAGCCATGAGCTGCTCGGCGGGCGGCGTAGCGCTGCGGGGACTTCGGGGGGCAGAGGACTGGCAGCCGGGGCGTCCGCGGCGGTGCAGGAGGCGCATCAGCGGCTGGAGAGGCTCCTAGGGCCCCAGCAGCAGCTGCAGGTCAGGACACAATATAAATATAAATGGAATGGGGAGTACAAAGGGGAAAAACCGCATACTCAGACGGGGAGGGGGGCCATGTAGAGTCATGTTGCTCATGGCGTTATTGGAAAGCGTTGCGATATGCGATCTGAACCGATGGCATTTGCAGCAAGCTTTTTGACATTGCCGCACCCATTCAGCAGCCGAAGCGGACATAGGTTTGCCACTTCCCTTGCTATGGCGTCCTTAGCGACAGCCGGGATGTGGAAATAGCTTTGTGGGGTACTCTTGGTCTGCTGAAGCTGTCAGGAGGGCGCTTGTACGCCACTTCCAACCTCCCCACATTTCAGAACTTAACGACATGACTTGGTGCGCAGCTGCAAAGTCTTGAAGGCGCAACCCCACCAAAGGGCCGCTGCGCTGCGCCCTCATCTTCGCTGCAGGGTACGGGCACATCGGGATCCGTGAAACGCCCCATTTCAGCTCCCTTGACCTTCGGCGCACCGATAGGCGCGACCAGTGGCGTCGGTGGCAGTGGCAGTGGCGCTGGCGGAGGGGCTTCCAGCAGTGCCGCCGTCAGCGGGTCCAGCGGCCACCGCGGCACGACCTCGCGGCCGCGGCCGGCTTCCGCTAGCCCGCTGCAGTCGTCAGGCCCTAAGGGCTTCTCATCCGCCGGCCTCGCGGGCGGCGCCCCGGCTGGCGGCAGCGTCTCGCTGCTGTCCACGGCCCCCGCCGCCATGTGCCAGGTGTCCTCATCCTCAGCCGCATCCAACCACCGGGTGAGCTCCAGGAGGGGCCACTCGGCAGCAGAGCAGCCAAGCAGCGGGGTCACGGGGGTGATCAGCTCGGGACACAATGTCGCCGGGGCCTCCGCTGCTGACGGCGATGACAGGGGTGCCAAGGCCCGCCTGAAGTCGCCGGCGGGCGGCAGGAGCACGGTGATAGCCAAAGAAGCTCTCAGTGAGGCGGTGTTGGGGTCGTCTGCCGACGTTCTGCTGGACGGCAGCGCATCCATGCCCACACTGCTGCCGTCAAGCCTTGCGTCCGCGTCGGGGTCTGGGAGCGGCGGCGGCAGTGCGGTGGTGGGGATGTCGGCGATGTCGTCAGGCCGCGGGCGGTCCCAATCGGCCGCTCTGACGACGTCCTCCTCTGAGAAGCTCCTGGGCGCCAGTCGGCTATCCCTCACCACCACCACGGGCCGCAGCGCGGGTCAATCGGCGTTAAGAAGTGCGTCACCCAGCAGCAGCAACTCCCCCAAAACGAGTATCGCTGCAGGATCTGGATTTGGGTCTGGGTCGCACGGGTCACTAGGGTCAGCCACGACTGGGGCAATTAAGTCACGGGCGCAGACGCGTCGCAGAGAGAGCGGGGGGGATCCGTCCGGGAGCAGCGGCACGGGCGTATCCAGTTCGGGGGCAGATGGCGCTGGCGGCGGCCGGACGGCCATGGCGGCAGCCGGAATGGCTGCGGGCACCACCACAACGCTGAAAGTGGGTCATGTGGTGGACACTGGTCGGACAGCTTCAGGCGGCAGGGGTAGCGGTAGCGGTAGCGGCGGGGTCGGGTCGCGGTCGGCAGGGCCGGAGGGCCGCACGCATCGCAGCGGCGGGAGCAGCCACGGCCATTCCGGCGACGGCAGTAAGGTCCGCACGGCGACCACTGGGGGGGAGCGTCAGCATGTCCCGGGGCCCCGGTCGCCCACCTCGCCGTCGGGTCCCGCTGCAGGCCCCGCTGCCGCAGGGAAGGCGGTCGGCGGCCGCTCATCCTCGCGCAGTGCTGTAGGCAGCAGTGGGGGCGCCAAAACAGCGACACCGGGTGGTGGCAGTGGCAGTGGCAGCAGCAAGGTCGCTGCCAGGGTCAGGCGGTCGTCTTCAGGTCAACACGAGCCCATGGGTGCCGCAACCGCGGGGACATCGGGTGGCTTGGCGGGAGAGTTCGTGCTGACAGGCACCGCAGGGGCCAGGGGCAGCGGCGCAGCAAGTGGCGGCGGCGGCAGCACCAGCAGTAGCAGCAGTAGCCTTTACAACGGTGGCGCAGGAGGGCGGCCCTCCTCGTCTGAGCGGAGTCGGCGCCGCTCTACTGCGACCAACACTACCACCACACCCACACCCGCAGCCACCACGGGTCGCCCCGGGGGTGTGGAAGCAGTGGCAGTAGCAGCAGTAGCAGGTGGCAACACCGGTGGACACGTCATGGGTCCTGGCGCCCAGTTTCGGGATGCCGCCGCCAGCCATACCTCCTCCTGGCCCTCCCCCATGTCGTTAACCGGCGCAGCCTCGGTCTCCGCCGCCGCCCTCGGGGACAGCACGGGACACCGGATTAAACCTCCTAGCATCGACCTATCGGCTCTCATGGCGGCATCTGCCGGCTCCGAATCCACACCGGGAGCGGGGAAGCACGCTGCCTACGGCGCCGTCGAACCCGCGAAACCATCTGTCGCAGGCGCTGCCGCCTTCCTGTCTGGCGGCCGCCGCGCCTCGAGCGGCGATTTCCCTGCCATGACAGAGGCTCGTGCGGCTCCCCCCCTGTCGCCCACACCGGCGGGCTCGTCGGGGGATGCCGGCCGCTTCCAGGTACCCGGGTACCTGGACGAGCAGGCTGCACCGCCGCCGCTGCTCCTGCTGCCCACCCGCTCACCGCTGCAGTCACCACGCTCAGTTCTGGGGCTGCCCCGTCGGAGCCGGGGCGGCCTCGGCAGCGGAAGCGGGGGGGCGCTGTGGGCCAGTGGCGGCGGGCTTCCCGCGGCTTCTCGCTGGGCCCGCAGCCCGCCGCTCCCGTTGCCGTCGGATGACAGCGCGGCCCTCTCGGCTGTGTGCAGTGGGGTGATGCCGCCGTCAGCCGTCGTGATGCACGACCTGCAGGCGTCGGCGCACGGTCTGATGCTGCAGGTGGGCGCATGTACGAGCAGCTTCATTGAGGTCCTGTGTGAGCGTTACGTGGAGGTGTACCGGGCGGGCCGGAAGGCGCAATGAGGCGGGGAGGTTGGGAGCCGGCGGCCCCTCGGGTTGGGCGCCCTAGCCTCCTCCCCTGCTGGAAGGGTCTGCTGGGGATGTACGGCAGGGGCGACCCAGGGCCTGTTCAGGCTTGAGAGCAGAGCTGCTGCTGCTGCTGCTGCTGCTGGGTACAGGCTCGTTGGCTGTCAGATGCAGCGCTGGGGGTCCGCTGCGGGGACCCTGCCGTATGAATTCGTACAACATTGCTTTCGCACTCCATAAGTGGGTCCATCAGACAGCAGCACGAAGCCGTGCAGTACGAAGATCAGTACGGCGCTGCACCGCATAGGGCGGCACTGTCGTAATCGTCGTAAGCCGACCTTGGTTACAGCTGCTCAGGCAGATTTGCAGGGGCTTGGGGGAGGTACGAGAGGTGGAGATGCGTAATGTGATGGAGCAGGTTCATGTGAGGGCCGGAGGAGAGGGGTGTGGCTGTTGTGCTGGGTTGGGAAAGCGTGCCCTTCGAGGCGCTGCGGTAATTTGCGCAGGTCGGAGCAGCGGGGAGCACCTTCATATATCATCAGCTTCAGAGTAGACAGCTGCTGCACTAGTTAGGGTTTTAAAGTTCTGTTCTCAAGGGTTTGGGCTCCAGGTACTCGATGTGAAATCTTGGGGCAGTTTCGCGACAAATACGATGTATATTCGTGTGTGTGCGTACGTATGAGCTATTTTTCCCTCCAACAGCACGCCAATGCAGCAGCTGGATGGGACTCCTCATACGAATGATTTCCGCTTTGACCTCTTACTGCGTTTGCTTACGCCCCGTTTGGCCTTTGACGCCTTGTCCCTCTTGCTTTGATGCCTTTTGGACGTTATTGCAGCAGAAGAGCTTTAACCTGGTCGCGTATAGTCGTGTTGTCTGTCCAGTGGCAAGAGTTGGCGTTTGCGCAGTTTTTTTCAGCGTGGGGCCCAAACTACCTGCCTACGCAGATTTGCGTGAGATCAGAACAGATAGTTTTAAAGTTTTGCCTCCCTCCAAAACGAGTGTGTGTGTATGCGTGTGTGTTAACTAGGCGCGCATAGCATGATGGCATATCACCTGACACGAAGGACATATACATGATGACCGAACGAGCAGCCCCATGTTCCTTCCACCCGACCACGGGGGGAACTAAACAGCGATCACTCGGGTTATGGCAGCGAAATGGCCCGCTTATGCATGTGCCACATTGTGTCAGTCTGTTTTCTGCGACCCTGACCACGTGACGTTTCTTTCCGAGTTTACTTCTGTGGGCCTGCTGTGCGCCAATTGAGGGGGCTGTGCGCGGGTAATTCTTGGGGCAGAGGAGAGGGGCGGCTGGGAGACTTCATGGCGGACCCCGCAGTTACGAATGAGGGTTACGGGGTCTACAGCCCGGTCGGTTCGTATAGTAACAGGAGAACGGCATCCACGGTGCTGAGTTCTTACACACACACTCCTGAATTCAACTTGATGCGCAACATGTCGAGCAAGACAATGCAGCAGGCTTTCTGTTTTATAGGGCTTCTCATTGCCGCGGGTGCTGCCCTGGTCTTTTTGAGCGGCTTTCCGGGAAAGAGTTGATGATGGAGCTTGCGTAGCGCTTCAGGATGTCCCCATCTCCCGTGGACTATCCGTGGCGTGTAACGTGCGGTTGGCCTTGAATTAGTATCGCGAGTACAGTGAATTGCGGTTGGCGAAGCCGGCAAGGAAGCCAGCTGCGGTTTCGAAGATTCCTTAATCTGAAGGCTAGCATGTGGGCTGAGAAGCTGCAGTCGCTGTGCGACGTGTAGCTATACCCCCTCACCCCCCCTCCACACACACGCACCGGTCCACTGCTCAGGGCCGTCGGTGATCACCGAAGCCCCTGGAGCTCCCCACCCGCTGCGAATACCGGAGTGGCTGCAGTGAAAAGCTGCCAGCAGAACTACCTGTCAAAACACACAGTCACCGCACCTGGCCTGCACTTCGCTGGGCGGCTAGTGCGCGCTGAGACCGCTAGCAACACCCCCTGTGTGTACACCACGATGGACACGCCCCACCCGCAAACGCCGGGCACCTTCCTCGACACGCCGCACTGCTTGTTGGTTCGCTAACTGAAAAAGCCTCCACAGAGGCAGTCCCCAGACTCCCTACACACCCCTACATCTGCATCCAAACCCCAACTGCCCATAATGACATCTACACATTGCACCTACGCCAGCAATCCGCATCTACAACCCCCCAAAGTTAAACCCGCCCCGCAGCCGCTGCTACACCTCCATCACCGCCCCGCCCAGGCGCGCGCGCAGGGGGGGTCCTCTCCACCAATATCCTGAAAAGAGTGCCGCGCATGAGCCTCCAGTCTCCTGCAGTTGGGAGCCCCCGCACCGCACCGCAAAGCACGGAGGTGCCTTGAGTTGCAACAGGGTTCATCTGACTTCGGGTTTGCTCCAGGGGCTCTGCGCCCCCCTGGAGCCCTCCTGAACCATCCAGGCTGTCGATCAATCCGTCCATCAGTGGACGGGCCCTCTGGCCCATCGGAGGATAGCTCTTCAAGGAGGTTGGATTCTCGGCGCACTTCGTTTGCAAGTTCATCGCCACGTCACCTCACACTTTAATATGGCGCGGCACATGAGCGTCGAGTAACCTTCATCGCAAATCCGTAAAACTTGGACAAAGTTTGCACGTGCGCAAGTAGGACTCAAAAGCACAACTACAGGACCACAGCTACCAGGTTCATACCTACCACTCCGCTTCGTCTCTCACCAGCGCTCCGTGCGGGACCCCCTCCCTCCCTTCCCACACACAACACGTACCTGAACTCACGCTCCGTGGCGGGTATCACAGTTCGCTCTAGCTCCGCAACCGAATCGGTGACAGCGCGCGCCGCATTCTCCAGCGGGGTCTGCCGTACACAACAAGGATAAGGCAGTACAGGTTAAAACGCATCATGCCACAGCAGACGATACTCCTGACACCACCGCCAGCAGCACCGTTGCCTGCTAACTCACAACGCGCATACGGCACTCTGCGAAAACGACGCAGAAAATACGGTGATAGGATTGACGTACAGCGGTGGCATCGTTGTTGCTTGTGACTGCCTTGCACTTTGTTTTGGGCCCATTTCCCTGATCCCGTGTGTCTGCATATGTGTGTGTGCTGCATCCTTCTTTCAGACCTGGAGGGCGCCTTCTGCAGTGTCGTCAACTGCAGGGCACAGACTCCCCCCCTCCCGCCCGGTCATCCCCTCGCCCTCGCCTGCATCCTCTCGAGCTGCCGAGCCAACTCCTGACCACTGGCATGAAACTCGGACTGCACATCCTGTACGATCACGTCCAGCTCCTGCCGTACATGCTGCGCCTTCTCGCGCACGACATGTCGCGCCGCTAGCAAATCCCCCTCCTCCAGGCCGTACATGAGAGCTGCGCCCAGTGCAGGGCCCACCAGGATGGTGGGCACCAGGTCTGCCGGGTCGGGACGGGTCGGTTCGATCCTCAAGTCGGTGGAACCTCAAATCCCATCCTTATCAGCTAGCGGACAAGCAGAGGGTCACGCTACCACAGCGCGTGCGGTGTGCCAACAAGCAGGGTGGTTGGACTCCCCCGGAGCGCAACGAACCCTTCGCGTGAAGGCAGAAAGTTAACTGAGCACATGTGAGCAAAGAGAAAAGACTAGGGACGTTTTCCGCATCAAGGATATCGCCGCATCAGGTGCAGCAGCGACAGTTAGTAGAGGTGTTGTTCGGAAGATGTGTGAGCGCATGTGGGGGCAAATGCAGGGGTCACAGGGACACACGGCGGCGGCGGCGCGCCGGTCCCAACTGAGAGGGCAGGAGCTGCTCAACAAAGGGGCGTTACAGAAAACCAATCAAAAGCGAAGGGCCTTAAAGCTGTGAGGTGGTTTCCATAACATGCGCCGTACGTAGATATGTTTGTGTGTGTCTGGGGTTTTCCCGGGGCCAAAGGAGGCGGCTAAGGTGCTAACCCCGACCAGCTCGTCCGGCAGGGCAGGTACGGCACCTGCACGCCCTCGCTCACCCCGGGCCTGCTAGTCCCTTCCCACACTCCGCCACCAACATCCGTTACATATCGAGTTCAGAACTAGTCCTACCGAGGTTGTTAGGTAGTTAGGTAGTTAGATAGCCCAGCGCACCTAGGAGAGGGCGTGTCAGGATGTTTAGGACCGGAATGCTGTTTATAATCTTCTTGGTCAGACTGACCGTGATAAGGCCCGCCAGCATGGCAGCGCCGTATCTACAGCAGGAGTGAAAACCGAAAGCAAAAGAGGAATTTTCAAATGGAACCACGATGTGGGTGACATGTGGACAGGAACACGTGACAGGGCAAGCAAGAAATACACGTGGTGGGTAAGGATGGGCCTCCGAGCTGGCAGCCCCCACACGCTTCAAGTGCCCCGACACTACTAGCCCACTAGATGAATTTCTAAGGCGGCCTCGAAGACAGAGGATAACGCTGGGACAGCGCGTGGTGCTATTATGGCAGTCAGGAGGTGGTGCGCAACGCGTCACTTACTTCGCTTTGCGAATTGAGGCCTTACGACGATTCACGCATTTGTGATCTGGAACTACCACGACCTTAGGCCGTCTAAACTCGCGTCCAGCCCAAGGAAGAGGCACAATCGGCAGGATGGGGGCGGGTGCTGCCAATCCGCTTGGAACAGGCCACGACATTAGGCGATGCGCAACTGGTTAAGCAGGAAGATGTTGCAAAAATATGTTACAGAGTTTGCCCTTGATGTCTTGCCAGGTCAAATGGCCTGTCAGTGAGTGGATGTGATGATGCCCTGTGTAGCTACCAACCCAGTAGCGAAGGTGAACCAGCCCAGAGATTATAGGCCGATCACCTCCTCCACGTGTTGTGGGAGTATGGCAGTTTCAAGGCTAATAATTTCAGCTGAGGTTGAGCGTGCTGGACAACCTCGCAACCTGTACGTGCTGCTGCTGTGTGTGTCAGTCTGTCCTTCCAATCCAATTACAAAAATCGAGCCAGTATTATTTTGCAATATGTGCTTTCATCGCTCACCAGCCTTCCAGAAGGAAGGTGGATCGTCGGCTGCCGTACAGACAAGTGAAATGGCTGTATGACAACGCGCGATGACGTTAATTAGAAGCTTTTGCATCTTATCATAAGCACAATTTCCACTCCACCAACCTGTTATGTACATTCGGTACAGCTCAACATGCCGATTTCGTGTATCACTCAGCCCGGCATTCTTCTAGTGTGCAACTTTCCTGGAGTAGTCCACCCTGTACGCAGGTGCGATGCCCAGAGACACCTCAGCAGCTGCTTAACAAGGGCCGCTGTGTTACTGCCGGCTGGTACTCCCAAACATGGGAAGAACGAAGATGGAATTATCCGGCCTCACAGTTCGTGCATCATGGCAGAATAAGCTTACCAAGTAGTAAGCCTCGCAACACGGCAAACTTTCCTTGTCCTATTCAATGAATCAAACATGCGCAAGCGTGCCACTGCATGTTTCGACTTGTACACGGCGTCAAAATTGTCGCGTGTTAACCCGCGTGTTAAGGAGAGGCGATATGCGTAACATGGGTCTGAAATACCATACTCCCACTCGTGACCTCCAAGACTTCTCGTGTTTAGGTGTTTGGATAAGTAAGGCAAGCTCTGGGGTAGGGACGCCGGAGATAAGTCAGATGGACCATACAGCCGTGAGTTTGGGCCATGGCAGATCCCTGTTGGGATGGAAGAAAACCGGAGTTATTCCCGCTTGATTATGGCTTCGTTGATCGTAGCTAAATTGTACGGCGCCACACCATATGCCAAACAGGTGCGCCAGGTTCTTACCTAGGATTTATCCACCCTGATAAGCTTACGAGTTTCATGATAAGAACTGTCATAAGATACTGGCGTCGCCGACGATCTTTGGCCTATGACGGAGTGACAAGACACTTAAACTCCTACGTCTCGTGATATTCCTTTTATTGTGTGACGCTTGAGGATAGCAACGGCATATTGCTGGCCGCTATGAGCGGGAAAAAGGGCGCCCGCCTACTCGTCAAGCTTGTCAGCACCGCCAAGACTGGATTCTTCTACGTTACAGAAAAGAACCCCCGGAATACTCCTTGGAAGATCAAGCTCATGAAGTATGATCCAAAAGTTGGGAAGCATGTCCTATTTGAGGAGCAAAAGCTGAAATGAGACTCAATGGAGGTAGAGGTTGAGTTCACAAGGGTGTTTCGGGCTGGATTTCTTGGACCTTGCCGAGGGATGGACATGGGCGCTGAGATATGGCAAGGCGTGGCCGAATCTTATATGTACATTTACACTGTGACCACAGCGTGCTTCCACCTTATAACTGGTTTAAAGATGGGACGTTGAAAAGGGGCCCCTTGATTGGTAACGGGTGTCGTATACTGTGCACGCGTGTAACACACAAATTGGTCCTTATTCGCGTCCTGTCGTAATAATTGTCCCCCCCCCCGCAACGCATGAGTGACGTAAGGTCAAGGCCGGCGGTGACAACCGCATGATGTACAGGCATGAGCATAAGACAGCCTGCCTCGGCTTGGGCTACCAGGCTTGTGCCATCAGTCCCAAAGCTGGACATCTCGTAAGTCCTTGTTCTTATGGCGGTTGTGGTAGTGGATGCAGCCAAAGGCCCTACACACCCAGACATCCACTCCCTTAACGTGCCAGCTCGCATCCCCCCTAACCATGCTCGTCTCATTATTATTGGTCAGTTAGTTTGGATTTAACAGAACATGTTGCGAAGCGCGGCGCTGCACTGTACTATACGACTTATAAAATCCATTGGCCCAGTACGGGCACAGGTTGCACTACGTGTGCAATGCGGCCACGACGGTACAGCAAAGACTTTTAGGCAGCGGCGGTCGACAGGTTGCCAAGATGCTTTTTCCAGGCAGCGGCTGCTGGACATTACCTGGTTCTCTGATAGGAGGAAAAGATATCGTGGAGGAGCTCCAACACTGTTTGGTAAATCATGGTGGTGTGTCCACGCCAATTTCTCCCTTCACCCCGACTAGAGAGGGATACACCACAGCAGCAGGCACATAGCCCCGGGGGTGATGTGGCCCCATGGACACCGAGGCCATGATGTCACGTACCTGATCAGGACATGGTGTGCGGTCCACACCAGCTGTGACTCAACCCCCAACAACATACACACCAGCTGTGACTCAACCCCCAACAACATACACACACGGAAGCCGTATCGGCAGTAGCTACGCAACACAACAGCGCCACGCAGGCGCTGAGTCCCCCTGCAGTTTACCAGTGATTTACCATATCACACCACACCGCTGTGCGATCCACCGAGCCAATGCAACCCAATTCTCCCGCAGTCCGTCAAAATGAGGCATCACGGTGGAGGAGGTCAACTTACTTAGGGTGCAATGGCAGTAATAATACGAAATTGCTAGCGGAATGTTGGATCCGTTAGCAGCGCAGAACATCGCACATACATACGCGCATACAGGACGGCAGGGTGTGTGGATACCCCCATGTGCCCCAGACTCGCTCTCTTCACCCCAGACTCGCTCCCTATCACCATATCTGTACGTCCCCTCACCCTCGCTCTCCCAGCTTCTGTAGCAGTGTAAGCTACAGCATTCAACGCAGACGACACACCGCGACCGCGACGGCCTAGCAGTCTGAATTTAGACACCCAGCCCCTCGCTTCAACACTGACGTGACTGAACCCCACCTCCCCCCCCCCCACACACACACACCTGCAACCCAGCTCACAAAAAATGTTCACACCGTCCGACATGCGCTAGGGTGCGCACCTCCGGACCCAACCAGCCACAGCCACAACCGAAATATCGTTATCATAAATCATTCACTCCTATATCATTATCAGCGCCCGACACCACCAGCACCACGAGCCAGGTGGCAGCACCAGCCCGAGGACACCACCACCACCATGTCATCGTCGGAAGGAGGGCAACAGCGGGTCCCCATGAATTTTCTTTTAACCTCATCGTTCTAGTTTCCTTCCTTCCATGGGGCTACACGTCCCCGCCTCCTCCTTGGCCGCCTCCTGGTGGCGCCGCTGACCTAGCTGCTGCTGCCGCTCGCGGTGCCGTCGTCGGCTCCAGAAGGGTTGCTGCCGCCGCCCCCGGGCTGGTTCCCGGGTCGACCCGCACACCGCCTTCCGGGCGAGGCACTCGGAGGGAGGCCAGCAGCAGCTGAAGGGCCTCCTGCGGGCGGTGACACAGCGGGGGGGAAGAGGGAGATCGGTGGGATGCAGTAAGGACCACCAGTAGCAGTAGCAGTGGCAGTAGCTCCCGCACAAAACACGCAACGCAGAGCGGGTGAGAGAGCGTGAAGGTGGCCCACATGGATATGAACACGGATGCGGAGGTGAATACGGAGGTGGCCCGTTGCCCCTTTCAGACTGGCAGCACAAGGGAAGGGAAACCTCATGACTCCCGGGGCGCAAAGGGGAGAGCCAGCGGGAAGGCTGCTCACAGGCCGACCGCGGCGACCACCTGGGGACCCCCCCCTCCACTCTTCCCTCTGTGCCCCACCAACCACCGCAACCGCCCACACAAGGGTGGCTACCGCTCCCCACACTCTTCCAAAACGCGATGCTGCACCCGCAGTACCTGCAGCTGTTGCTCCGAGAGCTGTTGCGGCTTCACAACTGCGCCGCCACCGCCACCGCCACCGCTACCCCCTTCTCCGCCTGCTGTAGTGGCGGCATCCCCCCCCTCCGCACCGATACCCTCCGGACCCAACACGGCGGCGGCGGCAGAGGAGGCGGCTGGCGCTGCCGCCGCCGGCTCTTGACCCGTCAAGGCAGAGAAGTCCCGGAGTCCCTGGGAGGAGGCGTCGTGCTCGGCCTCGTAGTACGGCACACCTGACCCAGCCGCTGCCCTCCCTGTCAGGCTGTCGTACGCCATCAGAAAGGCAGCCCGCTCCCCCTCCTCTCGTGCCAGCAACCCGGCGGCCATCTCCGGCCCCAGGGAGGACAGCTGAACGCCACCCTCCAGCCAGCATAGCAACGAGTCGCTGTCGTACCAGGGCCGTACGACCACGTCGGCCTGTGCGAACTCTCGCTGCGAGGGAGGGAGAGGACGAGCAGGAGCAGCCGCACCACCAGGGAGAGCGGAAGGATGCGCAGGACGGCGTGAGGTAAGAGGTGGGGTGATGTTAGTTGGGGAGGGAGGTGCTGCTGCTGTTAATGCTGCTAACGATATGCGTTGCGACCGGGTGGCGGATGTAGTCTGATGAATAGCTGGATGAATAGATGTACGACGGCCCCAACGTACAGCCAGTGCCCCACCCTCCTCACGGGCCCATACCCCGCGACGTGCTCCCCCTCCCACCCCCCACCCCCCACCTGCTGGTCCCCCGCCCTGCCCTGCACCGCGTGACGTGATGGGTCAAGGGAGGGATGTAGCTCCAATTTGAGCACCAGTACGGCGGAGGACGACCCGGACTTGGCTGTAGCAGGGCCCGCCGGGGTGGAGGACCTCTCAGCTGTTTCTGCCGGAGGCGCCGTGGAAGGGGAGGCTGAAGACGGAGATAAAGAAGAGAATGGAGATGGTGATGTGCCCATCGTGCCCCTCATGTCGGGTGTAGCGGTGGCGGCCTCCCCCCCACCGCACCCTGATGTTTCCCCCCCTCCGTATGAAGAGGGCTCCACGGGGACCAACACCTCTAACTGCTGCTGCTGCTGCATCATATTGGCAGAAGAGGAATTGGTGGTGGTGGTGGTGGAGGAGGAGGAGGTGGAGGATGACAGCGCGACATGTTCAGTAAGCGGGACGTTGTCACCGCCGATGGAGGACACCTCCATCCCCGTCCCCGCCCCCGTCCCCGCCAGCAGCCCAGGGGTGACGGCGGCGTCCGAAAGCTTCCTGAACCTAGCTGCCCTGTACGGCATATCGAAGCGGCCTAAGGCGGAGGGGGAAAAGGAGGGCGCACCAGGTGGGCAGGGGGGGGGAAGACGACCTTCAGTGTGAACGGTGCGGTGCGGTGGTTGGTCCGTGCCGAGGGTAAGGGTGAGGGTAAGTGTGAGAAGAGGGCTGGCCGGAAGACGGGAGGGAAGCTGTGTGTGTATGTGTGTATGTGTACCTGTGTATGCATGTATGTATGTATGTATGTATGTATGTATGTATGTATGTATGTATGTATGTATGTATGTGAGAATAGATGTATGTAGGTGAGGGATGGAAAGGATATGACCAACAGACCCAGCTGCCGATCGAATTGCCACAACGCCGCGAGACAGACGGCACGCGTGGAGGCCACTGGTAACCCAATGGCCCCCTCCCCCCTCCCCAACCCCCAATCAGCCACCCCGCACCGCACCGCAACAAAACACACACCCGCGCATACCGGGAGTGACCTTGCCCTGCGCTATCCGCTGCAGGGTGAGGCCCGCGAGGTGCTCCGAAACCGCCCTCTCCACTGCCAGCCCACGCAAAACGGCAGCTAGCGGCAGTTCGGACAGCACCGCCCGGGCCGCCGCGTTCACTGGTCGACAGCCCACAACCTCCACCTCCTCCTTCGCCTCCACCACACCGGCTCCTCCCTGCCGCTGTCCTTGCTGCTGGCCCTGCTGCTGCTGCTGGTTGTGTGCTACAACTACCAACTGAAACTCGGGCCAGGAATCCAGTACAGCAGCCTGGCGCTCCGAATCCAGGGAGGGGTTCCCCGACGGCATCAGGCCCCCGGGTACGGCACCCTCCAGCCAGCGGGGTACGACCCCACTGGCGGAGGTGACCAACCGCGCTGCCGGGGTACCGCTCACCTCCAGCCACATGCGGCCCTCCACAGCCGCCTCTAACCTCCGACACACGGCCGCTAGCTCACTTGCAGACACCCCCCTAGCGGCTGCAAAGCCGCTGCCTGCATGGTGTTGTGGAGTCCCGTCAGCCTCCGCCGCGGGCATGGACCGCGGCAGCGCGGCCGCGACGATGTCATGGCGTGGGAGCTGTACGGATCTTACCGCGGAGGCCGAAGCGGCGGCGAAGCGGCCGCCGCCGCCAGCGGGTCCCGCCGCCCGCATCATGGCGTCCAGGTCGCCGCCGCCAGCCTTTATCGCCGCCGCCAGCGGTACGGCAAGTAACGCCAGCAGGCCGGCCGCGCGGACTACGGAGCCCGCGGCGCCCTGCAGCGCCGACAACAGCCGCTCCAGCGGCGACAGTGTCGCTACGACAAGCTTCTGTGGCTGTATGCCGTACAAGTCCGGAAGTTGCTGCGCCAGGTCGGTAAAGATGTAGACCAGGGACATCAGCTGCGCCCTCGTCAACATCAGCGGAGCACACCAACGCACTGTGCTAGCTGCAGCTGCTGCTGCACCCCGTGGTGGTGATGATGATGATGATGGCGGCGGTGTGGGTCCTCCCCCCCGGGGCCGCAGGGGACTGCTGGGCGGGAAGTTGATTCGGGAGGATGTGCCCGCGGCGGAGGGCCC